GGCCATCGGGGTCTCGGTCCGCACCGCAACTTCGATGGCCCTTAGATGACATGTCGTAGTTAAACGCACGTATGAGCACATGCGCGGCCCTACCCACAGCGGAGGGCCCAAACCCGTGGGTTCTGGCTAGCCCACCGGTTCTGCGTCAGATGAAGCTTTAATAGTCTCCGGACTGAAAGCAAAAACATCAGTTAATACAAGATACAAGAAGATTATATTTTTAATCGTATAAACAATGCAACTTCACAACTCAATCACAAACAATAAAACTCTTAGTTCTCACTAGTTTTATCAAAATTTTAATTATAACGATCCAGTGTTAAAAAAGAAGAAGGAAATACACATTAAAACAAAGTAGAAATTATTGAGTTATTATTCAGTCTTCAATCACACGTCAGACCTCATTGCACGTTAGTATAGGATCGTGAATTCAATTGGAATTGTTTCCAATCGGGTTAATATATTATTTGCACCACGGCTGTTGCTTATTGTCATTCACAACTTGGAAAACGGCCATTATTGTCAGATTCGCATGTTTTATTAAGTTATTTGGCATATTTAACCTTATTTTATCCTGATATATATTATAATTACTTTTCTTTTCGAAATTTTATCACACGATTAAAACGTTAATTCTTTTCCAACTTTAAAAAATATGATTTAAAACATAAATAGATTAAAATTATTTAACATACTGGATTAGTACGGTGGATCAAAAACAAGGTAATATTAATATTGTTATATCAAATTACTTATTACATAATATTAAGAAATAATCTGTACGCATGTTAATACGTGGGTCACACTGAAAGAACAAATAAACATAAAACATAAAACGGCCCAATGTAGAAAGTTTCCAATACTTTTAATATTGTTCGAAGTAGTCTCCGTTTCCCTGTATACATCTTCGCATTCGATGGAATCACTGAGAAAAGCAGTGGGCCCGTCCTTAGGGATGACTTCAACGACATTTATTTTTCGAACGCACTCATCACATCTTCAGTGCTTGTTAAGCGAAAACTCGAAGTTTATCTTTGACCCTTGCGAATAAATGAAACCATCAGGTGATCGTCTGCATGCTTACAACATTATAACATAAAAAGCAACGGAAATTTGACAACTAAAAATGATAAAATAGAAATCTTGATTTCAGAAAATACTCAATTCGGTAACAACACTCGACTATATTTAATTATTTTGAAATGTAAATTTTTGTAGATAAATTAAGGAAAAACATTAGGCGCTGCGGCATTCGAACCGTTCATTTTTCTACAAAAATTTACAATTTAAAGTTTCATCTCTAGATTAGCACTAAAAATTAAAATGAACTCTAAAATTTTAATTACTTTGTTTATAGTATCAAGATCTAGGTACTGTAATTTGAAGATGGTAATGTAACTTGTATTTTAATCTTAATTAATTATGAATAAATACTCCACAAGTGATTATCTCCATGACAAAAATTTGTTTCCTAAATTATGCGTTCTTCATAAATAATATTAGTAATATTTATACTCCAGAAATGCTAGAACCTATGGGACGTTACAACTTTTAAAACCTGTATTGTATCATATTTTAACAAATAAACGTATCTTTCTTTCTTAAACATAACGCTATGCCCAAGTTCAATGATGATTCTTAAGTTTTACTTTTACCATCTAAGCTACATCGTGAATAAATATGCTTTGAATATAATACATACGGGTACTATATTAGATTAGCCTTTATAATAGTAATCAGCACTAATTGTATATACACAGTATATTTATAATTATATCCTTGAAAAACGGTACTGATTACAATAACTTATTAAGCATAACATTCATTAAATTATAATATAATTTTAATAAAGTTTTTATTATTGCATATTAAAATCAGGGCCGGATTTAGGGGCCTCCAAAAAAGAGACTTCGGAAAAAGACAAAGGCTATATATAGTACAAGTTGCGTTCGTTAACGCTAAAATGTAACTTTAGATAATTCTTGTTTACGATTATATTTATGTGTTCGTTAAATAATAGACTCTATACTTGATTTCACAATAAATTATTTATTGGAAAACTCGACTGAAAAAAATTGTTCATTTTATTTGGAAAATGGGGGTCAAGGGGCCTCCACTCTTTTGTTGCCCCGAGGCCTCCAGACCTCTAAATCCGGCCCTGATTATAATATTAAAATAAAGGCTTTGTTATCTGAACGATGCTCTCATAACAAAATGATACGCGTGGCGAATGATCACGTGATTCGATTTAGTGCGTCAGCGAGCCGAGTGTGACGGCCTAGCCGGGCTCACTTTTGTTCACTCCTCAAAACTCTAACATAATTAGAAATATTAATAATAAAAACTGTATGGTAGGGCCACGCAGCAGCCTCGGCTATTGCACGAATGGGCTCTTCCGGGTAAGTACCACGACCTAGAGACCTTCAAGATCGGCATGAAGTGGAAGTATAATAAATACTTTTGCGTTTCGTCTGGTGAATGAGGTAGCCGGAGCCCAATTTTCAAAAGGTTGTCAACGCATCTGCAATCCTCGGGTGTAGCAGATGTCCATGGGCGACGGTATTCACTTAACATCAGGTGAACCACCTGCTCGCTTGGCAACATTTCACATTAAAAAAAAAAATAATTTCTGTATTTTATAACACGTAAATAAAATTGTATGGAAATTCTGAAATATGTGCTTGTATAAACTGTTTGACAAGCTTCAGTGTCTGTCAAAATAATTTCGCGTTTTTTAGGGTTCCGTACCCAAAGGGTAAAACGGGACCCTATTACTAAGACTCCGCTGTCTGTTTGTCTTCCTGTGCGTCTGTCGGTCTGTCACCAGGCTGTCTTATGAACCGTGATAGGTAGACAGTTGAAATTTTCACAGATCATGTATTTCCGTTGCCGCTGTAACAACAAATACTAAAAACCAGAATAAAGAAATATTTAAGCGGGGCTCCCATTCATCAGACATCATTATTTTTGCCGTCGACATGATCCCTAATCTCGTAACGTTATAAATAACAGAATGATTGCTTTATTTTAATATTGATGTAATGAAAAACATTATATTATAAATGAATGTTTAAAATTAGTATTCTAAAGTTTTGTAGTTGTGTTACACCGACGCTCGGTATTTGAATGAATGTCCATCAAATTATTTTATTACGAATAAGATTAATAGTGCTTCACGGTAAGTTATTAGTACGTAAAACGCTGAATGTATGTATTCGAAATGTTTTTGGTAGCATTTGAATGGAACGGTAACAGTTTATGTTCCTGAGGATCTCTTAAGAAACCATTTGGATTATTTGAATTGGAATTACCATTTGGAGCATTTTATAAAAACACTTTAAATATTTTAAAAACATTGATAAGAAACGACAGTATTCCTGATGAATGTGTATATAAAATAATTAGTTTTAAAGGCGATAATTATAGCTGTACTATGAATAACAAAATAATGATTAATTATTTATACACTCAAATGGATGTACTCATCGTGGGAACAAACGTAGTAGCATATTATATAATAATCAACAAAAATAAATCAATATTATGTTGTGTAGTCCACTACAAACTGTATATATGTATGTTGTGTTGTTGATATAATAAAAGAGTAAAATCGGCGTTGTATACATTGAAAATATTTACGAACAAATGGTATAGGGTATCATAAAAAGAGTTATAGGAAACATAAAACCCATTTTTGGAATTTTTGTTTGTCTGTCTGTCTGTTCCCTTTAACTAAAAAAAGACTTATAATATAAATACGGATTTTGATGTAGTTTTCACTGGTTACTTGAGCTATGCTTGGGGCAGCATGTAGGCTGTTTTTGTTACTGTATTGTTTATTTGTTTCATTTCAATCGGTTCACTTAAACGGGAGATATGGGAGTTCGAAGATCCAAGCAGTGCAACTGCAAACAGTTGTCACAGTTAAACAACTACTGGACTACAAACTTTCTCGAAGTTTCATTTGATCGCAATCAGTTTAATCGAACAAAAAATACTCGTATACGTTATAAATAAACTACTGGATCAATTGGAACAGTTTTTAATTTTTCAAAGGACCATAGCTCCCGATACAAAAAAAAATACCTTTCATAGAAAATGTGCTATCAGCGATAAAATTTTAACTACGTTAACTTGAATTTTCAGTTTCATAATAAAAAAAGTTTTATTTAAGAAATTCTTCAATTAATGGAACTAAAATCCAGCCTAGGACACGGACAAGAAATTAGTTCCAGTGCAAAAACTAGATGGCGTTGTTATATTCCTAAAATCCGCTATAAATATATTTATACGCGTTAATTAAGGGACAAGCGCCAACCATTTGCATTTTAATAATAATACTGCAAATTTCTTCGCTTGAGATTTACGATAGGTACGATTTTAGATCGTCAAACGAATGCTCTTGATTTTTCTTTGCAATTTCGTTAGTTGTCAGGGACAGTGGTGGATTTCCCTAAAGGGCGAGTTGGCCCGGGCCTAGAGCAGGCTATGGAGACTTCACCAAACCTACCTGAGCTACTACTGTGCGGCGCAGAGCCTGCTACTGCAAACCCTCACGGAATGGTCGGTTGCATTACCTGTTGTTGCGGAGCCCTACGGACGGCAAAACTTACAGGACGGCAAATTAATAGCTTCGCCGTTCCCCCCTTCGTTTCTTCGCGCAGGCGATATTCCATAAAATTATAGTAATGTTAAGTTACAAATTATAAGCTATAATGTGACTAGCTAAGCTACTTAAATTAAAAGAAATATTTAACGTGAAAATCCCGCGGCGATAATTGTTTAACATTAGATAAACCGCCTTTTCGCTTGCCACCTTATCACAAAAAAAAATCTTTCAGTGCAATTGCCACTTTTACTGTGGTAGGGCCACGCAACATCTTCCGCTGTTGCACGAATGATAACTCCCGTACGGAGAACTTACCGAGGTTTTAAAAAGACAAGCCAAAAGTCCCTTAAAAATAAAATTAAAAAAAAAAATAAGTTTTTGTTCGTTGCAGGAGAGCCAAGACAAGTGGTCAAAGGTGTCAATGGGAGATTTTTGTCGGGGCAGCTTGTTGCCATCATGGGTCCCTCGGGTGCCGGTAAAAGTTCACTGCTCAACGCTATTTCTGGATATAGGTAAATAAATAAAAGAAATTCATGTTTAATTTAATTTTGGTGTATTTGATGTATTGGTTCGAATAAATTGCACTATTCATGGTTAAGGAAAGAAGTAAGATAAATTACATTTACATTTACAACCTTTTATATTTACAACCTAATTTTATGCTGACATCAAAATGTGAAGCTAATTTTTTTTATGAATCAAAATTTATCATTTTCTTATTATCAATGAATTAGCATTAAACATTTATCAAGCATTAAAAATTATACTACCTAAGTATGACTTTTAATTTTGAAATTACGCTAATTGAAATTTCGACCACTGTTCTTAAAAAATACGAAGAGTGGTCACTTGGACATATTAATTAATTTAATTATAATTTTAATTTACTTGGCAAAAAATAGTTTTATTGCATTAACATAATATCGTATTAAGACATAATGTAAAAGCGTGCGTACATCTATTTCAACTTCTATCTCGTTTCGTTATTCATTGCTATCAGCTGTGGAAATTGCGAATCACTGATGTTCTGCCTTAACAGATCAGCGGGCGTCACTGGGGAACTGCTTGTTAACGGGCAGCCACGTGACGAGCAGCTGTTCCAGAGGTCGTCGTGCTACATCACGCAAGAAGACCTCCTGCAGCCCTACCTCACGGTGCGGGAGGCGTTGGACGTCGCGGCTAGTCTTAAGCTGTCGAAGGGCTCGGCCGCGCACTCCGAGCAAATTCTTCAGGAGCTGGGTCTGCTGGAGCACCAGCACACGAAGACGGACCAGCTATCGGGAGGACAGAAGAAACGGTCAGGTTCCCTACGATGCACCGTGACCTTTTCCTAGACGTCAGTTTACACTGCAGCTTCTTCCTCTTTAATAATAGAGAAGTATCCGTCATTTGTAAAACAGCTATAGCCCTGATCTTTATAATCCATTCAGAAGGAATGGGGTCTCAACTTGATATACATTCATATCAGAGGAATTCGCCAAGACCTTTCCCGGTACATTTTTGCTGCTTGGTATAACCATATTTATACCAAAAATGAATTTAACTTACAAACGGTCAACATCACATGTTGTGTTTCTTGTCGAGTAAAACATAAGTTTAATTTGCCACCTTAAACATTTCATTAAAAATTTCATTACCTACATCTCAAAACTCACCATCACCATCACATACGTGTTGTATGTTTTAGTATTTTGAAATGTAATATGGACACAACAAATATGCCGCAGGTGGCTTAAAATCATCTACGGAATTTAGTTTTGACGTATTACATGCTTATTGTCCTGACTTAAGCGTTTCCTGTAACCTTACTATTATACATTTCTTTCTTCTATTGTTCCTTGCTCGTCCATATACCCTTCTTGAAACCCTCTGTCACTTCTGTTACTACTGTGCTCTATGATACTAACAACAAAAGACAGTACAGGGAGCGGAACAGAATAAAAACTACTGAAGTTGAACCAATTTTGTTGGTACATTTAGTTGACATGATTGATCCTCATCCGATCCAGTAATAAAATTTCCATGTAATTCATTCAAAATTACAAAAATATCGTCATTTTTCATAGCTAAAATACACACTATTCAGAACCAATGAGTCAAATACGAAACGTTGAATGTATTAATTGAGACCAAATGTTCCATCGGTGGAACGTCGAGGCTAACTGTCATTCTAAGTTTTCGTTTCTTACTTTTGAATCAAATAAAATATGAAGGTAATAAGGCAATGAAGTTATTTGTCAAAATAGGCTACAACATTTGGCGATATGTTACAGATTAATTTGATATTTACTGAATAACTGAAGTCTCTTTGACGGATATTTATTATATCGCATATTTTACTTCAATGATTTGAATTATCATTCAGCGCCCGATCTCCGACTTAATTTTTGTAATTTGCTTAATTTATGATAATGGAAACGTAAAAAGCTAATCTGTCTAAAATCAAAAATTTGGATCAATAAAGATAACGAAAGTAAATAAAGATAAGCAATATAAACTGAACGCTGGTTTGATTAATTGCTTAAAAGAATTAAACAAAGTTGAGAGACCAAAAATTTCAATTTCTCAACTACAAAATGACTTTTTCCCAACGCTATTCCTATTGCATTTTCTCGTTATGATCGTATTGATGAAAAAGCGGCCCACTTTGCTTCTTGTCCGTCATTTGCAACGTTATATTTCCTAAGCATTATTAGTAGACGCAACAGTACATTAACAGAGCTCGATACTAATACCATCAACGGCTGCATAATAAAGAAAATCTTAATTACTTTTTTAAATCACGCAGCGTACACTATTTTTTTAAAATTACCGTAAAGTTAAAGCCCCAAAAATCACGCCGACCTGGGAAGATTTATGATGTGAGATTTATTCACAAGTTTACTTATTAAGTAACACTTGTATACTTCTTTCTAATATATTTTTTAAAATAAGTATTTTGTGATATACTTTCCAATTTCCAAAACTCGATATAACTCGAAATTGAATATTTGCAGTAAACAGTACATGCTCAATATTAAGATTCTGCGAGTAGTTTTTTTTTTTTATTATTTTTTACATTACTTATTAGTCTTTACAACGAAATGCTATAAAGCATGATCAGGAATTTAAGTGTAAAAAATTAAAATGATACTAATTTTACGGATTTATCGCGTTTATTTTTAATTTTAGTTCCCGACGTTTCGAACCCTTTACAGCGTTCATGGTCACGGGACAGACTGAGGGGTTAGACGTCTGATTGTCAAAGTTAAAAATAAACGCGATAAATCCGTAAAATTAGTTTCATTTATAATGTGTAATCGCGTAAATACAAGAAATTATTATGTAAAAATTTTAGTTTTATATTTTTCTCGCGTTAAATCTGTAAAATAGTTTTATTTAATAATTATTGTTTCAGGTTGTCAATAGCTCTAGAGTTGGTGAACAATCCACCGGTATTCTTTTTGGACGAGCCAACTAGTGGTCTTGACACCGTCACGACAGCTCAGTGCGTCAAACTCTTGAGACAACTGGCGAGACAAGGCAGAACGGTGGTCTGCACCATCCATCAACCAGCTGCTTCTCTCCTTGAAATGTTTGACCAGGTACAGTATTAAGATTGAATAAAAATAAACATGAAATCACAGATCGGAGCCATTAGTCAGAACTACGTTTTGTCCGCACCAAATTAAAGTTACAAGGCCACGTTTTGTGTATCGCAATGCTGTTAGACTACACGGATGGCCGATGTCTTTCCAGAAGTACTGATATTATCGGTTGCAAAGACAGCAAACCGCATATAGATATACCGGTAACGATATAAGCAATCCAAAAATTTAAAAATGTGAAGAGAAAACTGTAATTAAAAATAATAATAAAATTGTTTGAGGCGACACTGTCGGGCTTTGATAAAGTTTCTCATCACGCCCTTAAATAATGACTTTGTCAATCTTTAAACGATAAAGCCCTTTATAGTCAGAACAACTGAACGTAAAAATATCACTGAATTAATTCAATAGTCACACGATTTATGTTTCTAAAATATTTTCTAAGTTCAAAATTTATCTGTACCTCAGAGGCATACAATAGTAACTCCACATTTTTTTAAATTATATTTCTTACACCATTAAAATTGCTAGAACAAATTCAACACAATAGTTTAAAGCATTGAGTACTACGACGCCTAATTAATAAAATATCCAATCTTATATGACATAACAAACAATAGTGCATTCAAGGATTCATTCACGCATTTTGGCTCTCCTATAAAATTTGTGTTTTGACACATAATGCTGATTACCTGTGAGGTACAGTTATATAATTTTTTATATCTGTCAACGGGAGAAATCTTCAAAATTCAGTATATACAATACACTTAAACCAAAAGATATTAAAATAACAGACGGGTATATGAAATATACACAGTAATCAAATATATTCATTACATATTGAGACAAATAAAACAAAAAAATATGAAGAAAACAGATTTAAGTATAAAGAACTTGCGTGTCACTGACTTAGATAAGTAGGTTAGTTATCGAAGAGTCCTCGTTGTTTGGAAAATAAGACTGCATTTTAATAACTCAAGGTTTTATCACTAGTGCCTTGAACGTTAACTGAATACCATAAACAATGGAAGTTGTAAATAACAAATGACAATTAGAAACAGAGCTAATTGCAAAAAAATACCGATATTGTAATAGTTTCCAGTGACTTATGTTTTAAATTAGAAATTATTGTCCCAGTATCTGTCAAATAATAGTGCTCTAGTATTCGAGATGTAAAGTACAACCTTTTAAGATATTGAACATAATATAACTTTGTAAAATTTTACAACCTTTGTTTGTATTTCGTCCGTAATTAAATATTTCTTTGGAACCCACGTTTCACTTATAAGCAAGTAGTAAGATTCATTATTATATTGGAAAAGTTAATAATAAATCTGTGCATTAAGTCGTAAAAGACCATGTAGACAACTATTATGAGAAAAGCATTGGAAATAGTGTAACAAAAAGTTTCTTAATTTGAAGTAGGACTGTCTAAATTTTACCGCATTCATTAATCCGGCTAAAATACAAAATAGCTACCCTGAATAATTGACAATACAATTACTTAAATATTATTAATATAAAATAACTAGTACCCGGAGCACCGAGCTTTGCTCGGTTTTTTTTTTGGTAAATCGTGTATTTTGGAAATTACATTTTTCGATCTTACCGACGTAATAATAAGAAAATATGAACTGATGTTTTTCACAAAAGAAAGAACATTAAAAAATAGGGAAAAAATAACAAAATAACAAATCGACAAAAAATTAAAAATAAAGAAAGCAATGATCTGGAATCGAAAAAAAAGTAAAAAATAAATGTGTAAATCGTGACGTGACGCGAACCACGGCCGTCTGTTTTGGGGCCGCCCGATTACCGACCGAGCTATTATGACATTTTCTCTTGCGGCGAAATTTACCGGCATATTCGAATTACATTTTTCATTCCCTGAAAACAGGGATAAAAGGGCATTTTCTAAAAATGAAACCTAGCTAGATCGATTTTTCGCAACCGAATCTACGCACATACTAAATGTCATGAAAATCGCTGGAGCCGTTTCCGAGATTCCGATTATATATATATACAAGAATTGCTCGTTTAAAGGATAAGAAGATTGAACATTCGATATTAAGTTATTGCAAAGGCTATACGAAAACGTTATCCATATTATGAACCCAGGTCGCCGGGTGTTCTACTCATGAAATCAATTCTATTATGCTATTGATTATGAGCTAAGTGAGTAATGTAAGCATGTCATCTATATGAATCACACGCATCGTAATGCTTAAGGGCATTCGATCTATGCAATTAAAATGCAACGATGAATAAGATTGGCAACATTTAAAAAAATCTTAGTTAAATGTACGCGACCAAAACAGCTCTTATGATCGCTAAAAATGATGAAAAAGAAATATGAGTTAGATTATACTATATTAAATTGAATTGTTATAATCTATCTAATATCTATATATCTAAATAACACAGACCCTGTTTTCTGTATTTAAGGCGCTGTACGCAGTATGATATGTTGAAAGCTGAAGAAAAAACCAACTGCTACAGTAAAAAATTATCAACAATTAAAGAGATATTTTAGGGAAATTCATGTATCATTTACCACAACTGTAAAATAACAATAAAAAATTGGAATGTAGTCTGACGTGAAAATTTGAGTTATTTAAATTAAAAAGATTTTTTTAATTTAAAAATGATTTCGACTTTAGTCATTCACCATTTTGCAGGATTAATTCAATATAAACAGGCACTTAGATGATATAAGATGTATTCCATATAATGATCTCGCATACGCAAAAGGTCGATAAAACTTAACTTGATAATGTTTTTACCTAAAGCGAATTATCGATTTTCTTCAAGTTGCGCAAAGAATTCTTGTATTAATGATTTTTTTAGCATTGAATTATTATCTTATTTTGACAGGGAACTGAGAAGTATGTTATCTCAAAGACATATTGTTACTTTGAGACATTCAATATAAAGTAAAATTGATTAAACAATAAACTTTAACATGTATAATAAATCTTGAAATGTTGCATTAAACGGCATTCATTGTAAAATGAATTATGAGAAGGTTAATAGGACTAATATTTATTACTTACAATGTTATATCAAAGAACATTGTAATAAAACGGTTTACGCATAAATTATAGGAATTGAACAAATAAACCTCTTACTACTTAGTACAAATATTCAAGATTCAAAGAAAACCAGGAGTACTAAACTGAAAGTTTGGATTTTGATAATGAAATAAGACCAAATGTTATATATGTTATATTCAAGTCACATTACATGATTTTTCAAAGCAAATGGTCACTATTTTCACGTAATTGCATTCGTCGGAACCATAATGAGAAGCAGTTCATCTCTTCTTCAGTCTCAACTGGATACCGCTACAAGGGCTTCGTGGAAAAATTGCATACGCACTGATTTGCAGTAAATGCCCTTGGCTTTAGTTGAGTTTAGTTAGTTTCAATCAGTTGTCGTACTATGTTAATAGTAAATTCGGTAACCGCTGTCTTTATATGATCACGTCCACGTCGAAATTCTTCGAACCTCTAATATACAGATCTGCAACATTAGTTAATTCTCTAAATGACATTTATTGAATTTCCTGGTTACTGTCTTGTTGACTGAGCCATAGCGAAAATCGTACAAAATCACTAAGCGATAATGTAATGCAAGTTAAGAATGAGAATAATCTTTATTACAAATGACAAAGATTTAAAAAAAAGTTACAAGCACATTTGTGGTAAATAACGTACTTAAACGTACAAAATAATCTACGAACTAAACAGACCTAAATAGGTCATTTCTTGACCTATGTTTAGGAAACTCAATTATTATTTATTATATAGGAAATGTCCAAGGAAGTAGAAAAATCTGTTTGTAAAAGAGAAATTTATTTTCGGGATAGAGAAAATCTTATCTTTACGATGTTTTGTTATTTCAATGAAAGGAGTCTTACGATGTTGCAGTAGTAGTAGTATTATGTTTATGAACAATAAAGGGATTTACAACATGTCGTAGAGTTTTAAATATATATTTAATTTTGCGAAGTCTGGATGTGAGGAGATTGATGTGTAAAACATAAAATTAAAATTTCTGTCTATTTAATAATAACTTATATATTAACTTAAAGTACCTCGACATAATTGTCGAGGTACTTTAAGTTCTCACTAAGAGAAATTTGTGGGCATTGACAAGGACATATTACAAATGTGATTATTTATGCGCTATTTATTTTAAATTACATGAGTCATTTATAAACACAAGAAACAATGTCGGACCGAGAATACCTCCTTAAGGTACACCGTAGTATACTGGATCACCGATGCAGTCACCAAATTTTTCACCTAAGTTAAATTCATAGTAATTGCGACACAATTTTCTAAAGGACGCCACAATTACGCCACAAAGCTTTTTATTACTTTTACTCTGTATAATATTTATTTCTACAAACGCGAATAATATTAATTATTAAATAAAATTATTTTACGGGGTTTTTCCAAATAAAATCTTTCAAAATTTTTAATTCAAAAACTTTGAAAGATTCTGATTTTGGTTTCTAGAATAACATTAAAAGTATTTACATAAATGCTCCTCTTTGTGCATAACTATAAATATAAAAACATCTGAATAGCAAAGGCGAAAAGACTTTAAACTTTGTTGGGGTCGTAAGTCGCGTGGGAGTCAGAGCATCGGATCTGGGTCCAAATTATGGGGCAGGACCTTACTCCTTGAGAAATCTCCTTGGATGACACTGGTCTCCCTCGGCAAAGCTGTTATTCTCCAGAAGTAATACGCTGAGCGGGAAGGGGAGAGCGTTGACCCACCGCCCCGTCAGCCTTGTAGTCTCGGGCTCAAGGAATAGAGCCAAGGTATCCCCTGCCTGTCGTAAAAGGTCATTAAAAGGGGACACGGACTGTCAGCAGTACCAAGTAGTCTTGAGCTGCTGAAAGATGGTGAGGGAATGGGGGAAGGTTTATTCTTCTCCGAGGCGTCTTACAACCAGTGCCGAGGGACTACGTTGCGTTCCGTAGGAGAACCCGGAGTCCCCCCAAACATACAGAACTTGGCCACCGAGGAGGTTTTAATGGTTACGAACCACATTTAACTCTGTCGTGTAAGGTAACAGGGTTATCCTTGAAGATTTCGCGCCCCGATAGCAAAAAAAAAAGAGGGAAACTTCGAAAGATACCATGTTTCTGAAGAAAACAGTAATGTGGGGTTCCTGTATTGTGGGTACAGTATTCTCGCAATACAGAAATTTTAATTTTATGTTTTACACATCAATCTCCTCACAAAAACTCTCCACCTGCGGGATCTATCTTTAGAACGCACCGCTGAACCTCCGTAATATGTACATTTTATTGTTTTTTGTGACCAAAGTGTCCGTTTTATTATGTCCAGACAGTTCTAATTGACAATCCAAATAAAAATCTTATAAACCTTAATCGGAAACCATTTCACCTTATCGACTTTCAATCTGATCAGAAATCTGTTACAAATAATTGGAAAATAAACATACAAGCTGATAAACAATCACTGTCTATGTTTTGATAACATTCAGACTGTTTACTCGACAGTCACGGCCAGGAATGTATTGTTTGATTAATATTTACGATATGTTTATGCACATGGCCAACATTGCGACATTAGAAATGGCAGATCATGTTATTTGGTTATTTAGTGTCGTTTGTGTTGTGCTGCTCCGGCTTCCTCAGGCATATTGGATATACAGGACAGGGTTCAGTATATGTAGTAAGTTGGTGTTTGTCCACATATGAAGGTTGGCTGGATACAGATATTATATGGAATAGGCTTGTTAACCGTCTACGCATTCTATGTCGATATATTTGGCACTGTTTTCTGTATTTTTTCAGTAATCCACTTCTATTATTATATAATAAACCATACTAGGGATACATTTTATAAATAATACTTATGTTACATTTATCCCATGGACAATCATATCAATCATCATCATTATCAATATGGACAAACGAAGGTTTTATTAGGTAGGTTTTATTATGTAACACGTGAAAGATTTTCAATTATTAAAAATTTGATTTTGATGTCGCAACTGGAGTACCATCAATGTGGCTCGGGATCATACGTTTATAAAATAAAACATCACTTGAAAGCAATTTGCATAGCGCATGCACTCGGCCGATTATGCATTGTGTTTCATCTATTACTCACGGGTCCTATATAAACGTAATTATGTTCATCTAGATGTGTATGGGATGGATTTGAACATTATTTAATAGCCATGGTAAAAGATACGTGGAAAATGTGCATACTCGAACGAATAATTTACGAAGTGTTTTTAATGAAAGCACTTCATTACATATTTCTACTACAAGTTTTATTATGTAGCATTACATGTACCTAGCCTTGAAGAGCCGTGATAGCTCAGTGAGTTGAGTCGAGCATCCTGAGTTCTATCCCCGGTGCCAACACCAATGAAATTGTTAATTTTAAGTGCTGAATTATCACGTGCTCAGCGGTGAAGGAAAACATTGTGAGGAAACCTGCATATTTAGCCTGTATCAAATAGCAGGAAATCTTAAAAAAAAAACCTGCATATTTTAACCGAAATAATAATAAAAAAAATATTTCGAAGATATGTGAAGTCCGCCAATCCGCAGTGGGGCCGCGTGGTGGACTATGCCCTGATACCTTCTGGCTCATTACGAAGAACATTATACGCCAATTTACTTTCATTGTATATGAACTCATAGAATTTACATTCGTTTTGGAAACGGATTATTTTGGAAATCCTTTTTAACCGACTTCAAAAGGAGGAGGTTCTCAATTCGACTGTATTTTTGTATATTTGTTACCTCAGAACTTTTGACAGAGTGAACGGATTTTGATGATTTTCTTTTATTTGAAAGATGGTGCTTCCCATGTGGTCCCATATTAATTTAATTGATATTGGATATTGGGCTCCGGAGATACTTATGGAACTCTTGAAAAACAATTATAAAATGAATACAGAGCGAGATATTTGAAGTCGGTTCCGTTTTTCGTTGTTAAAAAAAGGTTATTTATCTTCTCTAATAAACTTTCTGTAACTCTTCAGGTATACGTGATTGCTGACGGTCGGTGCATATACCAAGGCGACACAGACGCCATGGTGCCGTATCTACAAAGCGTTGGGTTGCCTTGCCCAAGACATCACAACCCCGCTGATTTTAGTAAGTTGTGGGTACATTAGGAATTTGGGGACATTAGGACGTATATCATTCTCAGATTTTTCGTAACTATGGATTCTTTAAAGTTTTTTTTTTAATAAAGTGTCAAACGAGCTTGCGGTTCATCTGATGTTAAGTGATAACTGCCGCCCATGGACATTTGCAACACCCGTAGGGTTGCAGGAGTGTTGACCAACCTTTTGCGAAAGACGAAAAGCGAAAGTATTATACTTCCACTTCACGCTGGTCTTCTGTGAGGTCGTGGTACTTACCTAGACGAGCCTGCCCATTCGTGCAACAGCCGAGGCTGCTGCATGGCCCTACCACAGTATATACTCCTTTAAAATAATAGGTACTTTAACATAAAATTTGAACATTTAAATTGAACGAGAGATATCGCCTTTGCTGTTAACATTTATAATTACAAAACCCCTTTCTAAAAGAAAAGATTTAAAAAAAACATTTATATTTAATTTCATTTTTTACTGATAGTCTCTGCACTCAGACAAAAGATAATAGTGAATTGCCGGAACTTTGAATAGCTAACCACCAACCACTAAATTGGCATAATATAGTTCATTTGGTTAGAGTCAGTTCATAACCCCTTTGGTTCAAATCACGGCAGTGAAGAAAATTTTTGATGATTAATTTATTTACAAAAAAACATGTAGATGGCGTATGCATTCTAGTTTCAGTGACTACTTATGCCTGCCATTCTATGAGACTATAAAATATTCAATATAAAACTAAAGTAAGTAGCTAAAAAAAGCTAAAGTAAGCACCACAATACCCTAGGTATGATCGGGTGGGATGCGAATAGTTAAGTTAGTAAGAAGTTCCTCTTTTACAGTGCCTAATTTTATGTTTTTGCACTTGAAAACTCAGTAACTGATAATTATATTGGGTAGATATAACTGACAGATAATGGATGAAGCCTAGGTAAAGTTAATCTAATATAAAAATATAAATAATTAAAAAAACTGGCATTCATTATATATATATATAAAAAAACACACACTGAATGAAATCAAATCACAAATGTAACAAACAATCGAATGCAGATTTAAATTGCTTTGAAAAAATTTATTAAAAGTCAATTAACCTACTGTTGCACAAATGGGAACGCTCATTCTGAGATTAAAATTAAATAAGTTGTGTGTATTGGAGGTGAAGGTAGCAGAATCATCGTTGGCAACTCCTTGCATAAAAAAATATGTTTTTATATTACAGTTATTGAAGTTACCGAAAATCAACAAAACATAAACGTGCTGTGCCAAGAAATCAACAACGGAAAGTTGTATAAGTCTTCAAAATTAGAAATCCCTCCAATTGAGCCTGTTAATAGCTTGGAACTCAAAGTTTGCTATCAAGCCGAAGACGAAATGGGCGAGACACAAATCGTACTATCCAATGAGAACCGTACTTATAAAGGAAAACAATACGATGGTGTGAGAGGTTCAATGATATCAATATCTAGTCACGATTCACGGGACAACTCCTCTCTAGCGTGGATGAAAGTGCAAAACTCTGACCCGAAAATGTACCCCACAACATATTTTGAACAATTCTCTATATTACTCCGGCGAATGTTAAAACAAATAAGCCGGAATCGCCAAGGTGAGTTTATCTTATTTATTTTTTTTAATGTCAGATAAACTTTATTTTTTAATGTGAGAAGGTGGCACTAGCTGGCGTTTCACCTGATGTTATGTGAAAACCGCCACCCATTGACATCTGCAAGACCCGAAGGTTTAGAGATGTGATACGCAAAAGTATAATACTTCACGCCAGTCTCTTGTGAGGTCGTGGTACGTACCCGGACGGATTTGCCCATTCGTGCAATAGCGAAGACTGTTGCGTGGCCCTATCGCAGTCAGACCGACCATAACTTTAACTTTCAGATGAAGATATTTCGATTGTGGGCTCTGTCGCTTTCACAGACTTCAATTTACTATTAGCATTCGTTTATTAAATAATTCTCGCGCCGAGTGAGATAATCATGGTTAAACCATGCACGTAAATCGAAAGAACTTTATGTTCCATTTTAGTTAAATTTTCCAAGTTAAAATGTTTGTTAACCTTTTATGCCACAAAAGATTAAAATTAACTAAAGAGAAACAACTATTTTAAACGTGTATTTTATTTTAACGAAAAGTTAGATTTTTTTTGCTAATACGTATTACCTTAGCCTTGAAATAATTCTAATACCTTAAGGTAATACCTTAAAATAAATATACTATGATTTAATTTACGATTTCTGGGTAGGTCTACAATACTATCTAACCTAATTCGGGTTTGCTTAAAATCGACTTGAGCAAGATTTAAAACAAGATAAAAAAAATTGTGATTTTTTAAATAAATAGGTACGATTCAAATCTTTAAATAATTTGCCTCTTGGTCCAACAATAATTTATAATTGGAGAGTTTTGAGTCAAGTAATTATTTAGCAATTAACAGTGCGATAATTCAAAACTAAAAACGTAATATGCAATTGAGCCTTCAACAAATAGGTAATAAAAATGTGATTGAGATTTTTGATAATATTTACGGCGCTTTTAAAATTTAGCCGTGATAGCTCAGTGTCCATGCGCTCGCCTTTAATTAAATGTACTCGAGGAACCTGATTCGATCCCCGGTGCCGACACCAATGAATTTGTTAATCTTAAGTGTGCTGACATATCACGTGACATATTTTCGAAATAATAAAAAAAAATATTTCGAAGATATGTGTAGTCCGCCAATCCAGAGTGGGGCCGTGTGGTGGACTTTGCTGTAATACCCTCTGTATAGAGGAGGCCTTTGGCCAGGAGTGGGACATGTATAAGTTATTACTTTTACTTTCTTTTTAAAAGTTATTTTTCAGGGACAAAGTTCTTAAACTGACAGAAAAATTTACTTTTTGGGAGTTCATTAATTAACGAGAAGCGTTATTGTTAAATTTTATATATTGGCACCTACATCGTTCAAGCGACAAGCGACTTGAAAATAAGGTGCCGGTGTTATATATTCGGGGATCATAATCATTACTCGAAATTAGATTTAAGAGGCCTCCTGTAGAAAGCACCTATGTCTGTAAGTGTAATGTAAGTAGGCTTATGGATTATTCTTACGTTAACCGCAATTTACAGCCCTGTGGATCCAAACGGTACACCACACCATGTGCGGCGCGTTGATTGGGCTGTGCTTTTTCAACATGGCGAACGACGGCACGCAGATGTTCAATCACTTGAAGATGTGCGTTGGCCTCGTGATATTCTTCGCCTACACGCAAATAATGGTCCCGGTACTAGTTTGTGAGTTTTCAACTTATTATTATTTTTGTCATATACGCGACAATACGGGTAAAGGGATCTTTAAATTTAGTTTTCAACTGGATAGAACCGTGCAATGTGAAACTTTGTTTTCTTTAAACTGGTATGGTGCATATCAGTGTGCAAGATCTGTTATCTGTAGGTCACACAAATACTTGTCCCGTGACGGAATCGAATCCAGGACCAGCCCCGAAGACAATAGCTTAGCAACTGCGCTACCAAGTCATCTATTACTCCAGTCGAAGTTGTATCACTACAGAGTATAAAATAAAGTCGTCCCGCTGTCTGTCTGTCTGTCCCTATGTATGCTTAGATCTTTAAAACTAACCAACGGATCTTGATGCGGTTTTTTTACTAGATAGAGTGACTCAAGAGGAAGGTTTATACGTATAATACATTGCACCCGTGCGAAGCCGGGGCAGGTCGCTTGTTTACGTATAAATTAACCAACCATAAAAACAACTCTCTCAATGTGAAAAAAAAAAGCGTGAGTTCTCAACAGCCATACGCTAATAGATCTATGGAATGAGTTTTTAATGGAGATGCGATTTTAAATAATGCTTTTTGTACGGTTGAACCCGATCTGAATCGCTCGCTGTTCAAGGCCTGAGTTAAACCGGTTACATCTCGCTTGCTTGTTCTTTGAGCAAGGAATGCTCAAATTTCAGCCAATAGTAATTAAGTACTATGTCCGATTACAAACTGAATTGGAAAATGTATTCGAAGATATTATTACAAGTAGTATTCTATACTACTTTTTTCATAGGGGTTTTTTTTTCATACTTTTTTACTAAACCATTTTTTCATAGGGTCCACAACCACCATACATGTTACTCGATGTATTGCGGGCCGCAAAAACATAAATAAAAAAATTAGGTAATGATTCCTAAGGAATTACAATTGAATAAACGACAGCTATGAATGGATTTATCGGATATATTTACATAACATTTTTGTTATTTTGTGGGTCGTTCCAAACACGGTGCAGTGTCCTTGATCACAAGAAGTTATTTAGTTGTTAATAAAAACCAAATTCAAAATGAATGAACTATTTACTGTACTGAAAAACATTTGAATCAGGTCCATTTATTGACCTGTTTTAGTATCAACTCCATTTATTGACCCGGTAAAATAATTTATTTTGCGGTTATAGGTTTTTTCCAGATGGTTTGTTTTGCTTAAAAAGGCTTTTTTTTAGAAAAATTGTCGAATTGTCGTATTTACGAAAATAATAAAATGACGGAAATGACAGCGCACTCTCAGCGCAATTTTTTAAAAAAGTAACACCAGATGGGCAAACCACAAAAGTCCGAAGCATTCTGCCCGCGGGCCGTAGTTTGACCATAGGTGGAATAGAACAAAATCATCTATACTTTAAGATGAATGTCCCAAAGGGCACGCTCCATAAAAATCGATGAACAGCAATAACTTAAATATCAAGGTAGAAAGTCAATATCTCTCCAAGAGCAAATAACCGTGGAAAATGCTACTAGCGGCGAATGAATAATGCGGCAGTTTATCTATTTGTTTTTAATTAAGTTTTGTCTTGAGTGCAGAGACTAGTTCTAAAATTTAAAATTAAATTTCAAAATCAAAGGCGACATTTCTAGTTTTTATTTATTTACTTATTTATTATTCATTGAAAAAAAAATTGGCTAATTGAAAAAGAGTGCTTGTTGTAAAGGAAGCATTAGATAGTACCTACCAAGCATTGCTTACAATGCAATAAAAACAAATTACTCGAGGCAGCTGAGTTGGAGTCCGGGTGACGGCGCTAATGAAATTGTTTATTTTAAGTACTGATTTATCCCATGGGTTTCATAAAACAGGGTTGACTATTCACGTTCTTCGTGTTGCGTTCATATGACAATCGACATTTTTCTTTTGTAATGTGATTTGACCATTGGCTCATTAGCCACAAGCTATTTCCGCAACCCCGTTCCAGATCCGCAAGAAGTGAAGCTAGTGAAGAAAGAGCATTTCAACGGCTGGTACAGTCTGTCGCCGTACTACGCCGCGTTGACAGTATCCAAGCTGCCGGTACAGGTTACGCTAAACATCGTGTTCTGTACCATCGTATACTTCATGGTCGGGATTCCATTCAGCGCTATGAGGTTCATCTGTTTCTGCCTCATAGCGAACGTTGTCTCTCTGGCGTCAGAGGGCATGGGGATGGCCATTGGATCCATCTTCAGCGTTAGGGTGAGTTTAAATGTCTTTAGTATTTATTCCAAGCATTCATCAGATCTTTCTTTCTTTTTTATTGGGGATGCTTTGAAAATCAATCTCGTGTAATTCGCGAACGATGAACGAATAGGAAATTTATCTTTGTACTGTACTACAAGGAACGTTTCCGAATGTTAACTGTTAATCGGTCTAATAGCTCTTTCATTCTTTTCATACATCTACCTACAACAGTCATACCGAATGAATCGAACGCAAGCGAAAGAGAGAGAGAGAGAGAGTCGATTGGTGACAGGTGACTGAGTAAAATGAGTATATCGGAGAAGAGCCGAAGAATCACGATTTTATCGACCGGACGAAGCGGTTAAACTGAGACTATAGAAATTTATGTTGTATATCAATGCTATGACTCGAGTCTAATGTCTATGTAATAAGTACCTACATATTATACCACAAACAAGTCAAACTTTTAAAATGTAAGATATTTAAAGTTAATATAGTAGTTTTTGTACTTTTTACGCTTTTTAATTACTGGTAACACATTTCTTATAGTACCACCGACCAAATCCAAGACCGAGTAGAGCTAATAGTACTAATGGAATGAATTAGTTCAGTCCGAAATGAAATAGTTCAGAGGGCTCTTTTAGATGACCGAGCAGGCACAAGACTATGGAAAATGTCCTGGATATCGTTATTTTAAGATATAGTTCGATATATATGCTATAAAAGCTACATATATAAAAATTGATTTGTTCTTATATGCATGTTCTATATATGGAAAGCAAAACGACAAGATCGATTTTGATGACAAATTTAAGCAATAAGATAATAAATAGCGATAGGATGAACGGTTTTTTTTAATGATGCCGGAACTTTAGTTCTGTATATAACATAATTTCTTTCAAAATTTTCGCATTCAACCTTGTTTTTAATATCAATTGATTTTAACAGAATTTAATCTTCGACATTTCAGAACGGTTGCGCCATCGGCCCCGCGGCCATCGCACCTTTCCTTGGCTTGGCAATCTACGGCTTCGACTTTGCCCACCGTATCCCTCTTCTAATGAACATCATCATGAAGACCTCCTTCATCCGGTGTGGTGTCGTCGCCATGGTTCTCACCATATTCGGTTTCGGCAGGACTCCGCTTGATTGTAAAGATGTTTACTGCCACTTCGCTAAGCCCGACGTACTGTTAAAGTATCTGGACATCGAGAAGAACTCTGTTTGGTTCGAGCTCAGTATCATAGTAGCAATTATGGTCATGTTTCGTTCACTATGCTATCTCGGTTTAAAATGGCGATTTGCTACATGATTATGACAATCAAAGCGCACAAAATTGTGATAAATGAATGATAGAAAGCCTCCGGGCGGTACAAAGTGATATGTGATAAAAAGATAATACCTTCAAACCCAAAATTGGTCCTATGGTTTTTAGTTGTTATAATAAATTTGTATAGATATTAATTATTATATTGTAAGCCAAAGATACAATTTAAAGTATCGAAATTGATTATCGCAACTGGTGGTGCATGTAGCATAGGCATAGAATTATGTAAGCAAAAGTAATTTCATTAGTTGAATGCATTCATATTTGCTTAAAGTGGATTTGTCAAGTGTTAAGCTAGATATCATGCAAATGAAGATTAGGTACTATTCGTGAAAATGTTTTTATTAAGCCCGAAATTATACAAATGCACCAGTAGCGTAATATAAAAAACGCTTATAGATATGTTAAAATACTATCATGAGGTGAATGGTATGTTTTTTAATAACTTTAACAGAATATGAATCATGTCACACTTTTTTTCTAGAGATAATTCTAAGTATTTTTTTCGTTTATGTAAAGAGTTACATTACAAGAAAATAGTTATATAAATGAATATTCCAAAATAATTCTATAAATCTTCAAAATGCATATAATTTTTGACGTTTATAAAACTGATTTCATAGTAGAAATTACGTTTAACAGACTTCTCAATACCTAATATGTAGGTATTATTAATACATTTGAATATGACTTAATTTAGGGAGCGTGTATTTATGACGTAGAAATAACCTTGTTGGACAATAAATAAGTTAAGAATTTATTAAGTGCCCCTACAGCTATGTGACGATTATATGCTGATTGGCAAAAAATCTCCTTAGGAAACGCTGATATCGTATATCATGGTTGTTTTTTTATCTATTCAAACTAGAAAAAAGATACTCGATTAGAGTAGAGTTAGGTATAAAAATATATCATGTTATATATTAAATCATCGATATTATTGAGGAATGATATTTTAAAATTAACATTTTTTCAATGAGCGAGGTAGCCCCGAGGCCTACATTCTCAGCGGTGAGCAACATTTTAGTGCTGTGTCAATTGGACGAACGGTTCGAACATTCCGTGACAGGGATGTCGAAAGTGAAGATATTTATCGATATTTATAAAAATATAAATATCAGCCTCGATATATCGAAGAGAAAACATCTATATAGGTCCTTGAAACGCATTTGTAAAAAAAGGTACGTCAAGTATTAAATATTTGATACCTACGGACTCCGTGCCGGACTGGAATTCGAAAAATTATCGTTTTTGATACGATTTTCGATATTGTATATTCTGTATCAACATATCGGAACCAAATATACCGGCTGAAAATATCGATATTATTTCGACATCTGTATTTGGTGAACCGACTGTTTAATTGCCATCCCATAAGTGAATAAATGTAAATTTTCGCCCTTCGGTACCATGTTGCTTAAAAAAACTTATACTTTCAATTTATAGAAATATAGAGTGACGAAATTAATCTGTTGAATAATTTTAAATTTATGACATGTGTTCTTCGCTGAAAGCTAAAAAGAAAAATATTTGACAATTAACATGTTGTTGTCTCAAAGGTTATTACAACTTACAACACAATTTGTTTTTGCGTTTATGGAATTAGTGGAGTAATTTTTTTATAAAAATGTGATTCACATAGGTATGATGCGATATAAATCATGTAATTGAAATACAAAAAAGGTTTTTTTATTACTTTTCTAATAAAACCACTTAATTTTATATTTTTTGTTTAAGTCTATTAGGTACATACAATGTACAAAATAATCCTTTTTACTTTCGGCCACTCCCTTTATCCCTTCTTTTCTTAATATGTTTCTTTGTTTTTGTTTTTCTCTTCTCAGCTTTTTCTTCTTTAACTGCTTTTTTTCTCGCCTTTTTGCTTTCAGGCGACTCATCTCGTGGGCGAGAACTGGTTTTAAATTTCGTTTCTGAAATAAGTGTACAAAGATCTTGTAGTGAAGTTGCCAAGATATTGGCTCCACAGATGATTGTTTCCGATTTGGGTGTTTGTCCATGTGAAATTTTGTATGTAAAACATCCTTACAACACAGGATAATGTTGTCCTACAATAAGAGGCCAATTTTTTTGAAGGGAAGACTACAATATATTTTTCTAGGTCGCAGTTGTTGTCAATACTTACTATGCAACCCATTCCACTCAAAATAGAATATACAAATGTTCTAACACTAGAAGTAAAAAGAGAAAAAGAGTTTTGGAATGTGTGTCACTATTTCGAAGATAACATTGGTTTTAGTTTAATTAGCACACAAAAATTCTCCAGTATATGCTTGAAAGTGAAAAGTTAAAATTGTTGCAGTGAAAATTCAGGTTGTTGTTAGGAATTTCTGTGAAGAATCATCAAGACCCTTTGGCCATTTTAAGTTTTAATGTGGTGTTCCTATATTATTTAATGGCTGCCTGAATGAATTATCAACAAAATCTACCTACTCGTCTAAAAGTTTCATACAAGTTGCACGAAAGTATAATTATTAGTAAAAATTGTGGGGATTTCCTTTTGATTTCCGAGATGATTGAAAATAATTAATGTGTGTTGTCATATTACAGCAATGAAGGAATACTTAATGTAACATTTCTAACTAAAAATCAACTAAAAAATCATGGTGACAAGTTACAAAAACTTGGCTGTACATTTAATAAACTAGTGTAGTTTTTATAATTAGTGTAGTTTCATTTTTTGGAAATCTCAATTCTCTACTAAATATTAAAGGTTAGATATAGTCAAGACTTTATTTTGATACCGGTACTTGAAAAGGCACTTGGGGCATTCTGCATGGAACAGGCAGGTAAAAAATGAACTTAAACTGCACAAAGTTGGACCATTAATATTTAGTTTTTCTTTTCTAAAATAGTTAATAGTGTATAGATAGTCCCTGCCATGTTTCTTAATGGGTCTAGAAGTTGCTGAAGGGCTGGTGCCTGGGTTGCACCTGCTGCCAGCCTATGTGAGATTATAAAAAATTCTTTAGTTGTGTTTAATAAATTATTTGATTGTACTTTGGTGTTAAGAGCACATCAAAGTATATTACAATAAAAAAACATAATTAGGTCTCAATAACTATTAAAATAAAAGATTAAAATGCCTCAATTTAAACAAACAAAAATAAATTTTGTAAAACAACAACTTACTTGCATCATTTCCATTCTCAATGGAGCTGCTCCCAGATCCGGACTCCGATCCATCACTAATGTCATCATCTTCATTAATTTCATCTTCTTGTAAAATCTCAGGCTTGTCAACTGTACCTGAAAGATCTTCATTAAATCCTGCAATCTTTTTGTATGTCAGGTCCTCAGTATCACCTTTTTTTGCTTTGCTGATATCTCTTTCATAGTTTATGACCTAAAAAAGAAAGTTTAATATATGAAATTAATATATTATAGATGATATACATAAAGAACATCTACAATCTAGATGTACAATTTCTTTTATGCAGGATACATTCAGGTTGTATAAATTTAATCATCGCCATTTTAGTTTTGGAATTGTCCAGTTCTGAATCAGTCAATTTTAAATACTTTTAAGACTTATTTAATTGCCCTTTATTTTACTATTAACATATGAATGAATATAAAATAAATCTCATTCAGTACGGAAAATTCAAATATATCTTGCATAAATATATCATGAGTGAGTGCCTGGACAATGAGCTATCAAGGCTGTGCACAGGCCTTGATCCAACAGTGGGACATTTATTTTTGTGGAGTTGCATGCATAAACCCAAGTTAGAGTACCTCAGTTAGTCTTTTAGGAATATAGACATTCTTAAATGCTTCCTCTTCTACTTGTTCTTGAGCCGTCATTTCTTCAAAATTTCTTGAGGCTACCTTCTCTGATAGTCGCTCCAAACATTCTTCTAGATTACTTTCATTTATAGAAGTGTCAGTAATAAAGTCAAACAATTCCTTAACAGTTAATGTTGCAACACCCTTTTTTCTGAAGAAATCTGATATATTTGTACAATCTTTTCTTAAGAACTCAAAGGCATGGGGATGATCATGTTCTACTGACTGCGACACATCAATAACAACAATATTACCATTATGATACAAAAGATTGAATTCAGACAAGTCAGCATGAACTAATTTGCAAATATTAAACATTTTCCACATCATGGTAATACAATCTCTGTAAAGCAATCTTGCAGTTGATTGTGATATTTCCACATCTTTTAGTTTCGGTGAAGGCCAGCCCTTTTCACCCATGAATGTCATGACCAACACATGACTGCGAAGTATTACAGGCTCCGGGACATTTAACTGGGCATTGTGCATACGCACAAGATTTCTCATTTCTTTTTCAGCCCAAGTTCTGACCATTTTGCGTGGGTTTGATCTACAATATCCATTCCTAAAACGATACTCTCCTGATACATATTTATCTCTGTCTTTAAAAACTAAAATGGAGGTTTTATAAATTTTAACAGCATAATCTTTTCCTTCTTTGGATGTTGCATGATAAACATTTGCTTCTTTACCTGTAGAAATGCATCCATTTATTTCATTAATAATACCTCTGTTAAGCAGTTTGAATAGTATCATTTTTGTACGAGGGTCCATTACTTGTTCTGCTGTTGCCCTGTCATGTTTATCTTTTGTTCTAATTCTCTCATTATCTACCTTTCTATCATTCATATCCATAAATTTTTGTGTGTTTTCAGAAAAGCTTGGTTCATATTTATCTATGTTTATTTTGTGGACATATTTTTTAAAAAGCTTTTCGCTTGGTTGGTAGGTGCTAACTTTATTAGATGGTGTTTGTGGATTGACATTGTCTTTTTTATTTTTTGTCTGAGTTGGATCATCGGAGTCATAAAAGTAGTCATCAGAGTCGACATCATCATCATCACTAATGTCTCTAGCAATCACAGGAGGATCAGCAAACTGAAAATGTGCAGAAAGTATATCATCATAATGAATGAACCAAATATTTCAAAACTGATCTGATATAAGTAATTTTTTTGAAAGAACTTCTGTACAGTAACAGTGCGGACTAAAAAAAATCTTTTAAAATGTTTGTGACCTATATTTAAATTAACGATGGAATAATTTAAGGTTAGGACCATTTTCAGTTTTAGTTTCTTAGATTTTATAATAAACAACAAGTATAAAAATATTGGTAAAAGTAAAATAGAGTTAAAAGTTAAAAAGTTTTCAATAAAATAGATCAGACTCATTTTAATGTAAAAGAAATGGGATGGGAGACAATATGGGTAAATTTATAGGTATATTATAAACTTACTCGCACTGACTTAACTTTTACTGATAAGTCTTCTTCATAATCACTAAACTGACCATCTGCCATTTTCAATACTTATTTTTTTTTAACAATATTCCTTAAAATATACATATGATACACATTACAAATTGCAGAAAATAACCATTTACTACTTAATCTTTGAAAATATCAATGTGAGTTTGAGTTGTGACAATGTGACAGCATGACAGCAGTATCATTAATGATAATTAAACTTAACACAGTGTTGCCAACTACAAAAAAAATATATCCCTAAAACCCTAAACGCCATTTTCAAAAGCCGTAAAAAGCCTTGTATTGAATTCTAAGATATTGTTTAAATGCGTTTTACGTTTTGTTGAGGTTAATATAAATTAGTTTTAATTACTGTTCATTACAAATAGTTGAAATAATTGATCAAATAATACAATATTAAGTAAAATTTCATTACTTACATTCATAAATAGACATTTCCCATTTTTTACTCATTTAGTCAGTGAAATTATTATTCATGAAATATTATTACGCCCTAAAAATGCCCAAACTTTTTGGACCGAGAAATAGCCCAATATGCATATTGGGCCCTAAATTTGGGTCTAAACAAAGACCTTAAACTTACTGACGTTCGTAAGTATAAGATCTCTAGGGTCTAAAAGCACTAAGTTGGCAAGGTTGCTTAGCGAATATTACTATGTGTCTGGCTTACTAAGATAACGCCCTCATTACTTAGGTGTTACTATTGACTTAATAACATATTTTAGTATAAAGACATATATTAATACTGATTCTCGTATATGGGCGGACAAAAGCCTTTTTACGTGGAATAATAAAAGATGAATAAAAGAAAATCAATGATGTAAAAAATCGAAAGTGCAAAATCTCCAAATATATTTTAACACGATATGTTAATACTTAATAATTTTTAAAAAATTGCTTCAGTAGTTTAGAAGATTTGACGTAAAATACCTTTCTGAATACCTTAAACTGCTCTCTTGTAAAATTTTATTTTTTTCACTTAGGGCAGTTCACTTTGGAGCCATCGGTATCCCATCTTCTGTAAAACCCGTTGGTAACAAAAATGTGAGTTTCGTTATTTTGAAAAGAGCCATCGATACGCATTTTCGATTAAGGCGCTGTATGCAGTAAAAATAGGTTTTTCAAAAGAATTTTTAGCAAAATCTATACATTTTATAGCAGCAAAAAAAATTATGTTAATTTTGATTTTACATTCTAATGGAGCATTGTTTTTATAACATATTCCGATATATTTGCTCGATAGAAAAAAGTCATGATACTACCTCTAAAAGAGAAATTCAAATCCAAAAATGAACGTAATACTTCAACAAATTTTAATGAAATTAATATCAGTGGTGTAGAGTATTTTATAACAAGGATTGTTGTCTTAATTTGTTGATTGAGTAATATAATTGTAAATATTAATTTAATTCATTAAAATTAGTTCGAACACGACGACCAAAACCGCGCGACCGCGCCGTTGTTTCGGTTCTCTTCCAATTCCACACAGAGAGCGCTGAGGCGCTGAGGCGCGTTGCTAGATGGGTCTATGCTCGTCCTCCGCTCACTGTTACGAAATATGTTCCTTATTTATTTAATTTTATTAGATCTTTCGGAAACACGAAACTAAAAATGTATATTCACATATTTCGTTTTTTTAATTATTTGTATATATTAACAACTAGAGGGTAATTTGAATTCAATCTTGTGATTGATAAGTTTATCAGTCCTATGCATATAGTGTAAACCAGTGGACCATCATTCTATAGGGATTGGGTTCAAATCCCTACATTTCTTTGTTATATTTTTTGGTGATTTTCTTTTTTGTAAATATATTTTTTATTTACCATTTAATATTTTTGGATTTTTTTATTTTTATAAATAGTGATAACGAAATATTATTGTATTTTTTGAACGTAGAAGGCAACAGTTGGAGAACAATCTATCAGATAATAAACCAACTTTTCATTATTTAAAATTTTTAACAAGTCATATTGTATATTGTTTTTAATATGTTTTATTAAAATATTTAATTTTTCAACCTAAAATGAAAATTAATCTTTTAGGAACACGAAAAATAATTGTTTTATATTTTTTTCATTAATTTGTTTATTTTCCACATTTTATGAAATAAAACAAAATAATTGATTGATTAACAAATTAAAATTGAAAAAAGATATACCACTCACTAGGGTTTGAACTTGGGTCCAACGTAATAGTTCACCTACCATGACGTTCGGACCACTATGCTACACGATGTCTGTGGTCGGTGACAAAATTTCGATTCTATTTATAATTGTTGTCGTTTATCGATATAAGGAATTTTATCGATAATTTTTTAAATATCATTTCATGAGGAATTTATGTAATAAATAAATTAGTAACTCTTATATATCTTATATAAAGTAGTAAGTCTTTATCATTTAAAGAATAAATTAAAGATAAATAGTTTAAGAAAATATGTAATAAAAAAGTCGTATTTGTAATTTCTGTCGTGGAGACTACGAATTGCTTTGTGAGCTATTACTTTAAATCAAAATAAGTAATTATTCGTTTATTTATTGTTTTGTTGTAAGAAATGTCATTTGCCTTTATTAATTTATTTGACCTTAAGATGTATTTTTAATCAATTCTAATCCGTTTCCTGTTAATTAATAGGAAGTTTTTCTAAAATTGTTAATTACTTTCTCATACTTTATATTTGTTTGTTTATTATTATTATAATAATATAAAAGTAAAATACAATCATTGGCTATAAAAGATATTACAGGGATCATTGTAGTGTCAAGTGTACATTTTCGAAAGCCTTCCATGATAATATCGATAGTATCCTACGGCGCACCACTAGTAGGTAATGAATGACTTGGTCACGCGGCGCGTCGACGAGACTCGCGCGCTGCGCCCCGCTAAGCGGGGTTACCCCTCCTCCGCTTTCTCATACCTCACCACCAATTAAAAATTCACTGCGTACAGCGCCTTAAATTAAGATAACAAACTAAAACTAGAAAAAGTACGTATTTCATAAGTCAATTTACTATGTAGTTTTAAAGAAAGTATCTTGGGAACCAAACTCAAAATCAATCTGATTAGATTCTTTGCTACGTTTGGACCGTCTCGTATGGGGGATTAGTCGAAAAGGTGTCCACTTAAACAGCAAATTATTGTTCGAACTCTCACCGAAATAGCGCTAGTGTAGCAAGTGGAAATGATATGAACTTAGCAGTTACAAGCAGAGTGAAGTGTGCTGGGTTGAAAAATTTAATATTTCTCTTGACTTCTCTAGTTAAGAAATATGCAGTATTTAAAATGTCAACTATTTACGTAGTCAACTGTAATTTAGTAAATAATAACTTATGAAACTCCTGAAACCTGAAATAACGTGCATAGTGATTTGTTTTTTATTAGCGGAAATGTTTCTTTCCTTTTTTAATTTAGTATCCTACTCTAATAATTTGTGGCGCTCTATTTAAAATTCTTCCACTTGCTACTATAGCGCCACCTTAATTTGCTCCGTTTCAACGGACACTTTTTAATACATTGAGATGGTCCTCCTAACGTCTACCCTCCATACTACGCTAGTGACCGTTATGTGTCTTTTGTGTTAAAATGATGGATAAAGATTATCATATATTTTTCAACTGTCCCAGAATTCCAGGTCCCTTCTATGATCATCTTCCTTCTAACATCCCTCGTCCATCTAACATCAATAACCTTTTAACATATGTAAATTCTTCATTTGTTTATATCTTATGTAGTTTTATTAATAGTTGTAATATTAAGTTGTGAACTTAGCATAATAATTACAATCTTATTTTCTTTGTTCTAAGTAATTGCTATAATTATGTAAATTTTTTTAGATATTCTATATATAAAAACATACATATTTAACATTCATAAAATCATTCTCTTCATCATTTCATTATAAAAGTTAGGCAAAAATAAACAACCAGAAGTGTTCATTGGCGTATTCATTGAAAACCGCCAAAAAAGAAAAGAAGAAGAAGATAAAGATTACTTTATTGATGATTTCAGGGTTATAGATGATATAAATGAGGTTGAAAATCTTTTGACTTGAAAACTTCAAAAATACATAAGAATCTACTCAAGGAGTTTCAAAAAGATTGGTTTAAATTTCCTCAGTCAACTGCGTATTTATCATTGACATAGTGAAATGATCTCGCTGGTCATGCAGGACGTGGTTTAATACCAGCACGTATTAAAATATTGACTTATAGCGCGCTTACCATCAAAGGCTACAATGCACTTACCATCAATATGCAATGCAGTATATATGTCTTATCTATGATGCAATGTGAGGATGTCAGTTAAGTGCTGGACAGTTTTGTTTAAAAAAAAAAAAGAAGTTCCGCTTGTGTGCGTCTTTTGTGGATGCCTGCTTCAAATTATTCCCCTAAGTTTTCTTCATTATTTAGTAAGTTGAAAGTTAAAGAAAATAGGTTGAATAAAGTATTTAATTTGTAGATTTAATATTTTAATAACAACAAAAACTACAAAGAAATAAATAATGTAATTTTTAAAATAATAATGTTCTGATCGTAAGATGATATAGGTAGGTAGAAAATAAAGGTAAAGAAAGGTAGAAATAAACATCACCGGCTAACCAGACTGACCTACGAAATAACGAATAAAAAAATCCTTTTTCCTTAAATTAATAATGTTTGAATAAAAAAAAATTACCTATGAAAAGTGTTTTTGGTGTTATTATTCGGATTTCCCAAATAATAGTGACACAATTCAATAGCACAAACCGGCATAATTAATTATTTTTCGTGAGCTTGTTATCCATAAGTGATTCAAATGACACTAACATAGATGATAAACGAGTGTACCAAGTTTTAGTTCTTTTCGCCGTTTGTTTAGGTTAAATGTTTCATCTAGACAAGTATATAATCAAGGATGGCAACATAGCGACACACGAATATGTCTTTCTGTTTGATGATTAATCCTTAAATAATTATTATGAGACTTTAAATACTTTTGCTAAAATAAGTTTTATATCTAGTATGTTGTCTAAAATAAATAATAATAATATTTATCTCTTTGTAATGAAATTATTTCATCATTATAAATAGTTTTATATGTATCTGTAAAATAATAATGAAATTAAAAGAGGGTATTTTTTAAATAGTTACATCTACATGAAATTGTAACATTAATGTATGATTTTTTTCTTAATTTTTGTTTAATTTTCACATTTATTATTATTAAGTTAGTAATTAGTAAGTACAAAAAGAAGACGCTAATTTGTTTTGTAAATTATATCTACTTATTGTATTATGTAGGTAAAACAGATGTACTCGTAATAATTTAATTTTAAGCAGCCATTTAAATACACCCAACCGAATTGTGATGGCGATTAGAACTTGCGACTGTGGACCGCTGCCTTTCTAATATAATATTCTCTTAACTAAGCCTTAAACGCAAACTGATATTGATAATTAACTGTAGAAATTAGTACGATTTATGTTGTCAACGTTAGCAGTCATAACATCGTTAATTAAATAAATGTGAAGAATTAGAGAAGGGGCGCTCAATTGAGGAATCAACCAATTCAATGTCAATTGAAACTGTCCACTACTATGTTAGATGTTTATGTTCCTTCCTACTATAATGGATTTGTATTGTTTCACATAACACCAGGCATTTTGAGACATGTAAAATGAAATTTGTTTATATTTTCACTAAGTAATGACTTGAGTTACTCCTTTAAACACACTGTGGTGGGGTATAAAATTAAGAGGATACCCCAGGCGATGCTGCATCTTTATTAGATCAGTCATAAGAACTTGCATCTCAAATCTCATCATAAAAATTAACTAAAAGTAATTAAAATTGAAAGTAGTTTATTAAACTGCTATTGCCTTATTTCATTTTGTTTACTCATTTAACGTACTGTTATAAGGGATAAATATATATAACACTAAGCGATTACCACCGTCATGAACGGGTCAGTTAATTTTAAATTTTCTGTACGTACTAAAACTAACCAACACACAAGACGAAACCCAATATACTACTAACTTCTGTTGGTTTTCTTACACGCTGCGGTACTTCCCCGATTGTTCCGACACATTCATGACTTACGTTTTTCCATACTAGTATGATAGTTTCAATACCGGAAATATATTAATTATTTGCAGTTGGGAATAAACTTCACAATGGCGGTCTTAGTCATGTTATAACTTTATAAGGAAGGTACCTAAGAAAACATATTCACATTCCGCTTAAAGGTATGAATTCGTGTCAGGGAAATAACGGGCATGATGCAACAACATGTTAACGTATTTTTTACCTCATTTTTTTTCTCTGAGATAAGTCCTGTTAATTACAGCAATACAATTTATTCAAGTAATCATGAAAAATATATTAATTTCATAAAACCTCTGCCCGGTAACTTGAACAAGTGTCTAGTTTATTATTTAAAATTTTATGATACACGTCTATTAATATCATTGCATTTACGTTAATTACCTAATCATTAATAATTGATTCATTCTCAATTATGCGGATGCAAGCTTGAGCGTATACCAAATTTAGCTATAAGTTGCAAATATCATCACATATCCGAATTTCGTTCAAAGCTCAAGTGGTTACTCATTCGTTTTCATAGGAATCTTTCTGTGAAAACGAATAGGTAAACTACTACTTCATCGATGGGTACTACACACTGTGTCTCTTCTGTAGATACTGTGTATTATTTAACCATAGGACTCTAATTTATTTAACGTTGTATACTTTAAGTTTCTTGGCTATAACCGTCCAGAAAGAGTTCTGCGATCCGCTGAAGAACTAATTCTAGTATCACACGCGTATTAAACTAAATATTACAAGAATAATTCTCCTTTACAATCAACGCGATCTGGTTGTGGGGTAAACTTCTTCAGCAAATTCGTCGAATATTTAAGTATAGGAGCCCCGTTTACATATTTTTTACTCTGTTTTTTTAGTATTTGTTGTTATAGTGGCAACAGAAATACATCATCTGTGAAAATTTCAACTAACTATGTAACTATCACGTTTTATGAGATACAGCCTGGTGACAGACGGACAGACAGATAGCGGAGTCTTAGTAATAGGGTCCCGTTTTACACTTTGGGTGTGGAACCCAAAAAATCATTGTCCGTCCCTGTGTAATCAATAGTTTCCATTGTCAACATTCGTATTTAATTCTTCTCTCGTGTATTTATTTATGTTATTTATATGAGTAATATATTTATTTATTAAACTTATAAGATTTATTTTATATTAATTGTATTAATTTTTTTGTGGTGTGCAATAAAATATATGTAAATATAATAAGGACGAAACGAGAAAACAAGTAAATATCCCCCATAATAATAATAATTAATATAAATTTGTAGTAATTATAAAATGCTTCATATGGTTTATGAAAAATAATAACATGTGCATAATTATTCTATTATTATTATTATTATCAAAGATAACAGTATTCTTAAAAATAAACAATAAAATTAAATTTTTAAGGAAGTTCCCGTTGAGTCGTCGAAAAATATTAAGCTCCTTTGCTTTAAGTAATCTGTAGAAAAAGATGGGAATTTCCTTTTAGTCTTAGATTATATTTTAGAATAAAAGCTGATGACACATTTATAATGATTTCATCTTTTGCCTGTATTCTGTATTCAGGTAGTAAGTAAATGTGAACTAAACTTGCAATGAATAGCATACACAGCCACTCGGTTTCCTGGCCAAATAGCCGAATATTAGGCAAAAGTATTCGTTTGACGATTTGTATGTGATCGTTTTTCTTTTCTTCCAATGTACTTACGTAAATTTCTCCTCTACGTTGCGTATGTTGTGATAAGTTTAGTTAGCTAGTACCGCAAATACGTAAGCATTGTTTATTTGTACCCTTTGTAAATTGAGATAGCTTTAAATTTTGTTTTATACATTGTTTTTGTTTTATACATTCTATACACTTTACGTTATTTGGGATCGCAAAAGAAATCGCCCAATAAAAGTGTTGTATGGAAAGAAAAGGAGTAAATTCCGAAATAAATATGTGGAGAATTAGTCATATTGCACTATAATCTTCCACTTCTATATTTTAATTGTGATATTAAAGGTACTACAAAGACATTTATTACTAATTAATGAAGCAATCTTTAATCATCATAAAACTATTGATTAATGATTACTTTAAGGATTTTATCAACTATTTGTCTACAAGATCAGATCAAATTTAAGTATTCGGTATTAGGCTGATAGTATCTAAATATTCGGCCGAGTAGTTGGTTTTCGACTGTATAGAATAATGGCCTATTCGGCTAATAGGCCGAGTGTCGAATTTTAGCAGAATATTCAATACAATTGTTAACATGTAAAACCATTAAACTAAGTTTAGTTTGTAAATAATTTATAACTATATGTGCTTTCAGTAAAAAAAATGGCATAAATCATGCTTGGGGAACTATCTGAAAGATTCGCAGAATTAACGAGTTTTATTCAACAATACCACTATTTCTGAGATATAATTAACGAATATAGGTTAATAACAGTTTATTATCAAGAAAAAAATTATGCAAACGATTTAGACACTACGAAATTTATACTTACGGCTGTTATTGTTAAGATATAAGAACGATACAGAATGCTTAACATAATTTTGTTTAACACCAAGGAAAACAATTGGACAGGAGTTTGGGAATCTATGAATCTGTTGTTACTGATGGGAGCCAGTCAATAGGCCATATTAGTACGTTTTCAGAGGTATTCCATCAAAAGCATCCTATCCCCAACCAGTTGCAGTTTTTCAAAAAAGTATTGTAGACTTCTGAACGATGAGACGCGGCTGGGTTTGTAGCAGTGTAATTTCGAGCTGTGACTAATTACGTTTCAGCTAACGGTCGTTTTTCTTCGCAGTTGATTAATCAAGTAAAAAAGGCCGCACGGTAATCGTAATGTTGATAATTAAGGGAGCAAAAACTAAATGTCAAGGCGATGGGTAATGCATTTCACGTGAATTGTGAGTTAGGTATTAATATAAAAGTTGTTGCTGTGCTTATGTGAATGTGATACACATAACTTGATTCTTAAGCTTGGATCCTATAATGCATTATATATTTAAATAAATTCAGGAGTGAATAGGGCATGAGGTTTTTTTTTACTAAGCCGATATTTATTTTTAAAACGGAAAAAACAACGATACGTTTGGCTATATATACACTTCTTAGTTTAAGTAATATGTAATTTACAAAATAGAACCTGATTTTATTTTGTTTGCATAAGATCTGATTGATTTTTACCAAGTTTTACATTTATTTAAAATTATTAGTTTTAGCTAATAACTCTGGGGTCGAAGTATACGCATAGCGAACGGGTGAGCGTGTCTATCAGTTCATAATTCTGTGCCATTTATAACATTGCACCGCGTAACCTTACGAAGTGAATTGACGTCGGAGCGAGGTATTTAAGAAGGCTACGCATTGAGAGTGGGGCCAAAACCGTATTACTGATGGCTGCGGCCAAACGCGAACGATCAATTAATTTCTAACCAACAATAAGAAAATCCAAAGAAAAGCACAAACGATTTTCAATTGAATATAAGTTTGAAAAGTAAATAAAAGACATGCCCGCGGATTCGAATCTGATAGTAGCGGGGGAGGCGGCGAAGAAGAGTCTGTTCCAAAGTCTCCCGGAGAGATCTAAACATGAGGACTTCATACGCCGGGCGGTGGATTTGTTGGTGGAGAGAGTGGTGTTCGGAAGGTCGCAGAGATCGTCGAAGGTTGTGGAGTGGGCAGCTCCCGAGGAAATAAAATCCGTTATCGATTTGAAACCGAGAGAAGGGCCCGTCACTCATGATGAACTCTTGGCAATAATGGCGGACGTGAGTAAAAACTAGCTATGTATTTCAGCGGTGTACAACAGAACAGGTAAAAAGTTCCGTTTATAAACAGGAATGACAATCAAAATCAAATCATTTATTCATCGCAATAAGAAATATACATTTCATTTATCGATAGTCATTTTTTAAATCTACCACCGTTTCGTAATGAGGTTCCTCTAACGGAGAAGATACAGGCGAAAGAAACTCCGTAGGTATCCTCTTTTTTTTTCTCAAACTAATACATTGTTATACAGTACATATATTTTTTTTAGAAGCTTGAGCGATCATCTCATTCCCAGGGGTTATTATCGTTAATGTATTGATTTATATTATAATAACCCTTTGTATAAACCTTTTCTTTAATAAATTTCTTAAACCTGTAGTTAATAGATAGGTTTTGCACATTAACTGGGATTTTGTCGTAGAAGCGTATACACCGTCCCATGAACGAGTTACTGACTCTATGGAGTCTAGTAACTGGCGTTACAAGCTTGTGTTTGTTCCTAGTGTTTACATTATGTACATCAGTATTCTTATTAAAATTATTAATATTTCTGTATACATACATTACATTTTCATATATATATTGAGAGGCCAAGGTTAAAATATTTATTTCTTTAAATTTCTCCCTCAGAGATGCATTCAAATTAAGATTGTAAATTGCTCTTATGGCCCTTTTTTGCAAAATAAATATTGTTTCAACATCGGCTGAATGCCCCCATAGCAAAATACCGTATGACATTATGCTATAGAAATCATTTGGATTTAAATTTTGGATGTTTCCCCCATATCCCCCATTGAAGTTTTGGATCAAGAGTTATTCCTAGAAAATCAGTGTTATTCACAAGGCTTAACTCGTCCCTATTTATAAGTACATTGACACCACCCCAGTGTTTAACATTAGGTGTCGAAAATTTTATACATTTAGTTTTTAAACGGTTTTATTTAGCTCGACCCGTACGGAATTTGTTTATTTATTTGGGTCAAAATTAGAAATTGAAATTTAAGCACCTTGCCGTTGTCAGATTGATCTGAAATTTGGTACACACATTTAATTTAGATGACAACACAATATTAACAAAAAAAAATTTAAAAAAAAAAAAAAAACAAAAAAAAACCGTTTAACTTAAAAGTTTTTTAAAGTAATTATATTGCCATTTAACAGTAAATTATTAGCATTAAACTATTTCTGACATAGCATGATTTAGCTCGTCAAGTGTTACAATACGTCGCTTAATTTTAAAGATTAATGAAGTATCATCGGCAAACAACATTGTCATGTTTTTTTCCTACTAAGTAGGGTAAATCATTGATATAAACGAGAAAAAGGAATGGGCCGAGAATCGTGCCTTGCGGATCGCCCATTGATATCATCGACCATTCGAAACTTAAAAATCTTTTTTTAAATAGATTTAAAAAAAAATCTATTTACGAATGTGTATTTTGTGTGTAAGGTGTATAAATCACAATAAACAATTTTTTTGATTAAATTAATCGATTAAAAAAAAAAAAAAAAACGAAAAGGTTTTCGCCACTGCGGGAATTAAATACACGTCTTCCAAAATCGCGCAGACGCTTTAAACACTAATCTAAGAAAATTGACGAAAAGTTTTTCGCCGATGCGAGAATTTTTATGACTTTAATGTTTTACTGTTCACTTTGAAGGAGAGATTAGCACCAATAATTAATTTTTTAATTTTTAAATTTAAATTTCATGTATATTTTTTTAATGTGAAAAGTTGCCAAGCGAGCAGACGGTTCACCTGATGTTAAGTGAATATCGCCGCCCATGGACATCTGCTACACCCGAGGGTTCAAGATGCGGTGACAACCTTTTGAAAATTTGGCTTCGGCCACCTCACTCATTAGACGAAACGCGAGTATTATACTTCCACTTTACGCCGGTCTTCTGTGAGGTCGTGGTACTTACCCGGACGAGCCTGCCCATTCGTGCAACAGCCGAGGCTGCTACGTGGCCCTACCACCGTTAAGTTTTGTTATATGCATTAAATTTCAAATAAAAAATATTATTTTAAATATGGCGACATCTCTCCTTCGAATTATTGCTGTAAAACGATATTTGAAATTGTTTATGGGCTGTAAACGACATTTCAACAGATGCACCAAGTAATGCTTAAAATGTGAAAAAACGATATATGTGATACAAGATACAATACGTTGAAATTTTCTTCGGTGTGGCTATTTAGATTAGTGATTAAAGCCTCTGGGCACGAATCTGGAAGACGTTGATTCGATTCCCTCTGCGGCGAAAAACTTTTCATCCATTTTTTCTACAAATTTTAATGTTTCATGTTAAGTGCTGAGAGTTTAAATTAAACGAATAAAATTAAAGAACGTAAAAAAATATCTTGTAATTAATTGTTCATTTCCTCGTTGTCACCAAGTTGCAGGTTGTCTAATTATTGTTTTTCTAATCTAAGTAGCGATTCAATGATATTGATTGCTTTGACGTGAAAAATAATTGTTATACTAGCCTTACAACTTTTACCCGGAATTGTGTTAAATTCTACCTGGTTATAATTAGGACTTTACATTGATTTACTTACTGGCCTTTACCTTTACACTTCTTGATAATTCGTTAAACTTAAGTTGTTTACAAATACAAAAACAAGTTATTTCTCAGTTTATGTGTTGTGTAAGAGCCAAAATACGCCAAAATAATACTATATTTTGGCGTATTTTGTCTCTTAGTTACGTTAACGCCTTTAGCATATCTAAGGATATAGAATCTATATTTTTTTGCTTTACACGAATGTAATTTATATACCAGAAATAGTTATTTTGGATAGGTAACATGAATTTATATGTGCAAAATACCCAATATTAAATAACACAGTTTTATAACGTGAACAGAGAACAGAAAGGAAAGATAACTTATTATTATATATAAATCATAATTTCGTCATTGTATTATTTACAATTGGCATCGTAATTATAAATAAAAATAAGTATTCACGTACTTAAGTACGCACGTAAGAAGTTATGGTTACTTCTTTAGCGTAATGAAAGAAAAGTAAGTAAACATTTTATCCTCTGTGCCAGTACTCTTTGTATGTGAAAAAGACATTATATGTAATTGATAAAGGCTTATAAATAACTTGGAATTACAGAAAAATTTCAAAAACTTGTACCTTGATGTTGGTCGCTTCGCAACCAAATTCATCATGTCTGTGTGTACTGTGTATGTACTGTACATGTGTACTGTGCGCGCGCATCATAAAAATTTTACTCTGATAATTTTTTCCATACGCGCTAAAAAAACTATAACTTCAAAAATAATAAACGGAAAAAAAAATATTGTTGAACATTTGAACTTGTTATAAGCTTTGTAAATAAATCGTTTACCTAAATTATTTTGTTGATTAAATTACTACAAAGAGAATGAGAACATGTTAATAACTGTTTAAAAATGAAAAGAAATTGTAAAAAGGTAATTTTTTCTGTTTGCGGACTTATCACGGCATACACAGTTCTTTAATAAGATTATTGCTAATATTGTTTCAACAACACACCGGAATCAAATATAGATGTAATTGGCGGAAGCCCTTATGAGTTATAATAAAAAACAGGCTAAGAGAATGTTTATTCAGATGATTATCGTCAACAAGTTTCACTGGACATAAAATGTAAAGTACCTATATATATTAAAATTGTTAGTTAGTTTTTAACAATAAATAAATAATTAACACTGTTGACACACTTTCCTTAATTTAAAATTGATCTAAAATTATTAAAAGGATATTACAGTTGAAAACACAACATACAAGTAGTAGCAGAACTTGGTTAATCAAGTAGGAGCACTTCTTTAATCGTAAGATAGAAATTTACAGAACTAAACGTAGGTATAACCCAAACCTAGTAGAGTCTTCAACTCGAAAGCGTACGATACGGGGGAGTCCCTTGTAAACTACTAGAAACATAAGTTTTAAACTTTGAAACATTCGCGGGCACAACAAATCACCAAAGTTACATTTTAGTCGAAACAATGGTATAGAAATACATGAGAACACATAATAGGTTCATATTGTAAGCAATGCCGTCTTAGGGCCATATCGGGGCCCTAGGTCGCACAAACTTGGGGCCCTCATGTAAACTAAAAAAGTGAATGATTAAAACATTTTTCTTCTATTATCTTATGTTTTATATGTATTCTATAAACTTCTGTCGTAATATATCTACGAATGGCTGTACGGGGCCCCCGTGACGACAGGGACCCAGGGAACGGGCCCATGTGCCCTTATATAGACCTGGGAAAATTACCTACTTCATTTCTAAAAAGCGCGATAGAGTGAAAGCTAGTGTTATATCGAATTACTCTTACAGGTCGCACGCTACTCGGTCAACACCGGCCACCCTTACTTCGTCAACCAGCTTTTCTCCACGGTCGACCCTTACGGGCTGATTGGGCAGTGGCTGACGGATTCGTTGAACCCCAGCGTGTACACGTACGAAGTGGCTCCGGTGTTCACGTTGATGGAGGAGGAGGTGCTGAGGGAGATGCGGGCCATCGTCGGTTGGCCGGGCGGCCAGGGCGACGGTATCTTCTGCCCCGGCGGCTCCATAGCAAACGGGTACGCCATCAGCTGCGCCAGACACCACTTCTATCCGGAAGTTAAGGTTGGTATATTATAAATAGGTATAAGTGATCACTGTTCTCGCTTCGGGCAAATAGAACATGCTATCCTCTGCCTGTCGTACAAGGCGATTGAAAGATAAAGATGTGAAGGCGATTTCCGGTTCACGGTCGGTCAGTGTAGAGCTATAACTACAGTCTGGTTTGTGACAATGTCGCCCCTTGCCGGATGACTAAACTCATCCTTATCATCGGATGACCCTATAGACGGAATCTAGAAATCGTGGATCGCCCTGGACATTCCAATTCAGAATCTCGTCACCAGTCGCCCTTTTGAATTTCCATCTATTTAATCGAGTGGCGGCGACACTTTCGTAAAATATTATATAAACCCGATACAGAACTGCGTTTAAAATAAACAATTATGGCAATTAAGTGATTACAGTCAAAGTGCACTCTGAGCTGAATGGGAGTTAGCTAACACGCAACACGCGACGGCATCGCTTTTTGAGCTATAAAATTCAATATAAATTTCGCGCAATGTCGGGTCACCGTAATCATTGAAATGTGGAACGAGCAAATTGCTTGATGCCCTCAATAGCAGTACAAGTTGAAGCGAGCACCCCTCCTCTAACACTAAGACAGCCACAAGATTTTATTGCCAGTTTTTAGGAAGTTAGGTGGTCACCTTAACCTCGTTTCTTCAATGTTTGTGAATATTTTGCGTGCAACAATTCGCAGGGACCTCGTATATCGAGAACGGTTTGTGTGCGAGAACTTAAACTTGAAATGTTAGCGCCCTTGGAGGTGCGTTTTACTCATCCTACTGGTTCACACGAGCTCGAGGCCTTTGCCCGATAAACAAAATTCCTAGCGAGTAGAAAACGCTTTCCTTTGTGAATTAGCCCTAGTTTCTAAAGCAACCGTTTTCTTGAAAGTACAGGTTCACGTTAGATTAGCGCCTTTGCCTTAGTTAAAAAAAAATCGTATCCAGGTGAGAATACAATATACAGGCGGCCTTTTGTGAGTGGGCCCCAGTTTCCAGGGAAAGTAAAGCTACAGCTTGCCGCTACCACAGATAAAGTGAAAATAACTATTGATTGATTTAACGATTGGTTCACTATATTCATTGAATCGCGTCTAAACATTTTTTTATACATACGTAAACCTTACTAGACACGTCTTATAATGCCTGATTATTACAAATTTTTCAATGAAATCTCTAACATATATTTTGTTCACCGAAATGATTGTTATTAGGGTTACACCCAGTTTCCGAAAGCGCAATCAATTTTAATTTACGATAAATCTCTTGTCAATCGCTGTTTAACATGATCTGAGTTGCTAGAACGTCTTAAACAACATTGATTTTGATTTGCAATTAGTCACTGATTAACGGACAATCAACAGAAAATCGAGTTTCTGAAAGCGTTTTTCGGTGGTCAAAGAGCTGTCAAAAGTTTTATTAAGTAATCTGTCAATATGGACGATCAATCGTTGGTTTAAAATGTTATTTGTCAAAAATCTTAGTTTTTATTAAAAAATAAACATAATTCCCTAATACGTTGTTAGGACATTCATGTGTTCTATTACCTATTTATTATTTATTATTATGCCAACATATCATGTGATTAGAAAAAAATACAAAATGCAATTCAAAAGTTAATAAATAATATGGATTCTTTCTTTTTATAATACTTACTTGTTTATTATTGATAAAAGTTCATTTTTTTCACGTTCTGTAAAGTTTTTTTTTTTGACATTTTGCATGTATTTATATAAATTAAATTTTATTATAGCTCGGATTTTTACGTTGGCAATCACACGGTGACAGGACTGGATAGTGACGTTAATTTAAGTTTTGTTTAAAAAGGGACAGCTATACAATAGAAAGAGTTAGTTGAAGTAAATCATTCATTTCATTCATTATCATTGGTTATACAGTGATTAGCTAATTTTTCTTGAACAACCTTCCAGAAACCCAAGGGAGTTTAACAAGAGATTAACAGCTGATCATTTTTGACATAGTGTTATGTGATTGCTGCTTTGATTGGCCTTTCGGAAACTGGGCATTAGTTGTTAATATACAGTTACGACTCGCACTCAGTATGAGAAATAAAATTTACTTCTAAAACATTATCAACAGAACTACAATTTTATTCATTTATTGTGTCTTCATTGCTATCAGTGATTCTATTTTATAATGGAAAGTTATATTTTTATGTTTAGTTAAGGGATTCCCACAATCGTTGTGTCACAAAGATAAAGAGTAGACAGCTTATTTTAATCGTAACTTCATATTTTTCGATATGTAATGATGAAAATAATCCTGACATATGCATGATTATAAGATATTAAATTATAAATATCAAAAAGATTTTGCAAAATATATAAATGTACGGTATTGAGATGTGGTGTTTTTCTTGAAATTGCAGTTGGTTTTGTGTAGCTATAATTTTTACTGTTTTAACGTATTATAACATTTTCTTTCTTTTCCTACGTGCAGAGCAAAGGTGTGTACGCCGTACCAAGGTTAGTGCTATTCACTTCGGAGCTCGCGCACTACTCGACGAAGAAGATGGCGTCGTTTATGGGAGTCGGCAGCGATAATTGTGTTCTGGTGAAAGCGGACGAGCTGGGGAAGATGGATGTAGAAGATTTGGAGGCCAAAATCAACGAAGCATTGGACGAGGGGGCTACACCTTTCATGGTTACAGCAACAGCCGGCACAACGGTGTTTGGTGCGTTCGACCCTTTAGTGACGATATCAACGCTGTGCAAGAAATACAATATATGGCTACACGTGGACGCCGCGTGGGGCGGCGGCGCTTTGATGTCAAAGAAACACAAACATCTATTGAATGGGATAGAACTGTAAGTATATGACGTTAGATACGCAGTAAATGAAACTATGAGGATATATGATGAAGTTCGCAATGACGATATCCGCAGTAGAAGAAACGTAACCGACATAGCTTAGGAGATTAGTCACGATAATAGCTCGCTATCATCGATGAGGAAGAACGACGCTTAAGTGGTAACTTCGTATTTGTCATCCCAGTGTAGGACGGCCATCTTTTAGTAGGCGACCATCTATGGAGTGAGGACCTGTTCAAACGTGCGGAAAGTCGATGGATGTAGGGTGGTCTATGTTCAGCAGTGGACTTGAATAGGTTGAAATTATGATGATGATCATTCTATTCCTTTTAATGTCGCAAAAGATGAACGGGCTTCAATGCAATTAGTGATTGGGGTTGCCGATCCGCTGGGTTAAGACATGATATATTTCGTACATTTTAAAATCCTACGATTTCCCAAAGAACAAAAAGCAAGAAAAAAATATATAGATTGTACATAACTTAAAAAATGTTTGAACTAACTATTCAGAATACAACATTGTTTGTTGCGTCATAATTTAATAGAGGAGAGTTACCAAATATGGGCTACCATTTTGTTTTTGCCTCAAAAATAAAAAACTATTAAAAAATTTATCATTTATTGACGTCAAAATAATTACACATACATTTTTAAAGAACTAATTAACAATCTTAAATTCTTAATATTATAATATATTATTAAATTGAGCATTAAACAAAATATCAAAATAGGCGCTAAATATGGAACAGATACTCAAATATGGGCTACAAATAGAAACTTAAAATATCTTGTACAAAAATAACAATTATAAATATTTTTCTTACAAGAGATCAAATTACTTTGGTACATGGAAGAAATCACATAATTACTTATAAAAACCACATATTCAGGTGACAAACTCTGGCCCAGCACAGTCATTAGGTATGTGCCCAGAGCTTACACATTAAACATCTGACCCACAATTCTCCTGCCGCGTTTTCGGAAAAAAGTTCCTGACAAAACATACACGCTGCGTCGGCAGTGTCAGGAGCCTCTCTTCCTATAGGGGCATCTGGTTCACTATCTGAATCAAATTGGATATCTTCTTCAACTTCAACTTCGCCCTTGGCTTTCTTATTTCCTATACTTCTTTCCTTTTGCTTGGGTTTCTTATCTTTTATTTTATTTTCTTTTTCAATTTTCTTCTTATTTGTTTGAATAAGGTCATTTTTATATGGAGACGAAGTTATAAGCGAGGCCACAACAGCTTTTCTACCTCTATTAGTTGTCTTTCTGACTTTTTTTGGCATGGGACTTATGTCATAAGGACATACTAAACCTAGAATGCTACGATGAATTCCGGAAGGCGAAGGTTGATAGTTATCTGTTGGATCATGTCCAGTTCCAGAAGTAGATTCTTCTGTTTGAGTCTCAGACCTTGACCATAGCCCATATTCAGGACCATAGTCATAGCCCATATTCGAAATTCTTTACTAAAATCAACTTAATCATGTACTTTACAAATCATAAGAGCAAGCAATAAATCGACCGAAAATCATAAAATTAAACTTATATTCTGCAATAAAACACATAGTTATAGTATTTAAACCTAATTTTCATTCATTAAATAACACATTGATACGTACCGCAGAAAATTTTTCGACAGCAGCAATACAAGTATGGCCGACATTGGCGACAGCTTGCGCGCGAATGACGAGAATGAGCGAGTGCGATATTAGAGCGAATGAATGCAATAGACGATCGTCGTTTGTTGAGTCTTTCGATTGTAGGTTTTCGAGAATTGTTACTAGCCCATATTAAAGCACTAGCCCACGTTTAGTTACTCTCCTCTAATAAATTTCACAAAGAACGTAAATTCTATGGAATACTTAAAGCATAAATCTATGATCTTAACTCCTACCTGTTCTAAAGATAAAACATAAAATGTCAAGATAAATTGTAGCAAATTTTACGCCGCTGACAGGATTTGTACCTACACCTTCCGGGTTACGCATCTAGATGTTCTATCCACTAAGCTAAGTGGTCTATATTCTCAATCAAATAATAATTGGTTTTACGTTGTATACAATATTATTTTTAAATAACTTTTAATCACGACGTGTCGCAATCACGTGGTACAAAAAAAAGGTTAGTAGATATCTTATAACAATTAAAATACGCAATGTACTTATTAAGTTTTATGTTTAATTCGTTAACTCTGGAGCAAGAGGAGTATATTAATTTGAAGTTTCACTTAAAATATACGAAATGACAAACTTGCCGACGATTAGAAATGTTTTTATCCAACTAAGTCATTACCTATTCAAATCTGTATAGTCTGATCCCACCTATTTTATAATGATCAATATTTCTTTTGTAGTAAGTGTAAATCGTATGCATGATGATTAATACCATTCCAAAATTATGTAACAAATTAAAAAAAACATATAAATTGCAAATTTGAGAAAATGCGTAATGAGTTAAGGTTGCTCTCAAATATATATAGTCTATTCCATATATAAATAATCATAGTCTATTCCAAAGATTACAACAACTACTAGATAAATTTATATGATATTAGTAAAAACCCTGGACCAAATACCATTCATTCGAGGTTTGCGTAATAATGTTCAGTAACTGGCAGTCATTAACTATGACTAAGGCTAGCCGTGTTGAGAGTAAGAAACGGTATTAGTTGAAAATATGTAATTATCTTTCAAGGCATATGCCTTATGTTATCTAAAAAAATTCTTTAAATAACAATATAGCTTAGGTATAAATAAAAAACTACGTGGTCTTTGTAAATAATTGGTCTCGTAGATTGGTTTGCATTAAAAAAGGTTTCATATTTCACAATGAATAAGGTTTTCAAAGTACAGATAAAATAAATTAGATCGTACTTATATCATAAATGAGAATATGTGTATATTTCTTCATTATATCCAGGACGCTTTGTCCCTATTAAATTTATTAGCTTTAAAAACTGTCGTAAAAGCTAGTTAAAATAATGGAGCCTAATACTGTGGCTGTTATCCTGTGTTTGCAAATATTAGTTTTGCAGCAGAGAATAAATCTCGCTTTTTGTGTTTCAGAGCTGACTCAGTTACATGGAATCCGCACAAACTGCTGGCGGCTCCGCAGCAGTGTTCTACCTTCTTAGTCAGGCATGAGAATGTCCTAAAAGACGGACACTCGTCGAATGCGAAGTATCTGTTCCAGAAGGACAAGTTCTACGACACTACATACGACACTGGGGACAAACATATACAATGCGGTAGGCGTGCCGACGTCCTCAAGTTTTGGTTCATGTGGAAGGCGAAGGGCAGCGAAGGCTTCGAGAAGCACATCGACAAACTCTTCGACAACGCGAATTTCTTTCTGGAGCACATTAAGCAAAGGAGCGGCTTTAAGCTAGTGCTTGAACAGCCGGAATGTACCAACATCATGTTCTGGTACGTGCCTAATTGTCTCCGCGGACGTGAGAACGACCCAAATTATAAAGAAAGGCTTCATAAGGTCGCCCCGAAAATAAAGGAGCGAATGATCAAGGAAGGCAGTATGATGGTCACGTATCAGCCGCAAGGTAACCTCGTTAACTTTTTCCGCATTGTTTTCCAAAACTCCGCTCTAGACTACAAGGATATGGTCTATTTTGCTGACCAGTTTGAAAGGCTCGGGTCGAACATTGTTGTGTGACAGCGAAATTTAATTATTAATCGCCCCTCGCCTTGCGCCCTGTAATTTGTATTGAATATCCAATTGTGTAACCTGTGATTTTAATTTACGATGTAGTTTTATTTCGTTATCTATGCACGCGTAGAAACTGTTAAATTTAATCGTATTTATTAATAAAGAGTTATGATAAACCTTCTAATTTTTTAGTTAACTTCCAGCTTATTTTCCAAGTTACTTTAAAAAGAGATGACATTTAATTAAGTTTTTGAAAACGCGCTCCTAAGTCGTTTTAATTTTTGTTTTAAAGTTCAATAAGAAAATGTGGCGAATGATCACACTCTTAGCAACGTTTACTATCGACGGTCTAAAGTGACTGGCTAAATAAATTCTACTTAGGCTTTGAAATGTCTATCAGTGAATTTTGAACGATTTTAATCATGCCTATCTTTTTTATACGTACTAGCTGATATTTGTCACCAATCCATTCTGGTGGTAGGTAATTGGTGATACAATGGATGACGATAATCGAACTAAGACGGTAAAATATTATTTAATCTTCTATTGAAAGTATACACATGATAGTGAGAAGGATAGTCGGACGTAAGCATCGTTGCTCTGCTGTTAATCTGGAACCCAAATATAATTATGATGATAATCATATTTGTAAATTAGACTTTCACGCAATATGTCTATCCTGTCTATAAATAATAAAAATTTTGTGTTTTTTTGCCCTCTTAGAAATTTAGTAACAATAAGAATGTTACAATTTTTAGACATTTATAAAAATAATTTATCAAATACACATTGATTTTCCTCCGTCAATATCAATATGGTCTAAGATTTTTCCCATTAATTATCCATTACATATAGTGTTTATACTAATTACTATGTATGTGGAATATCCTAGCCTAATAGAATAGGAAAATGGAAATGTTAATCAGCCGATTAGGAAATTAGCTGAACGGACGGTGTTTGCATATTAAATAGGGGATCGCGTTGCATCGACTAATGGATGTTGCCGGAGCCAGTGCGAGGTGTTCGCAATTAGTGCCACGTCATTTATCACTATCGATTTAATTCGATTGAAATAGAGGTTCGGTTGTGATTTATATTAATTAGAGATAAGCGTTTGAGCTATGGGTAGCGAACGAGTATTTCGAGCGGTTTCTTATAAGCTGACATGGATGTTAAGCTAAATGTTGGTTATTTAAAATTAAATGATAGAAAATAATTACAAACTTTAAGACACGTATTACATTTAAAGCTTAACTTATCTAACAGTGATGGAATAGACAATAATTAACGAAATGGATAATGGTGGTTGTTTTCACTTCGACGGAGAAAACATCAAAATAATTTTCAGCTAAAAAGATGTATAAAAATTAAAAATAAAATTTTGCCTTGGAGAAAAAGAATAGCGCCTAATAAAATAAAACATGTCACCAAGATGATGAAATAAAAAGTTTGTATGTAATGCGCAAATAAAAGTTTTATTTGTTTCGTTATTTTGAACTTATATAAAATATATTATAAACAATTTCTTTAAAAAAGGATTAAAACATCATTGATTAAACAACACATTAATTAAATTAGTCAGATCTTTCAACAAAACTGTCCATCAGCGATCACAAATGCTCATCTTCGTCAGACAAATTTGCTAAAGTAAACTCTTCGCAGTTCAACTGTAGAAGAAATTAAAAAAAAAAACGTTAATCCAATAATAATTAAACCCTGAAAGGAATAATTATATCCAACAAGAAATCATATAAAATCCCACCATTGTTTCATCGTCAGGTACTCTTGAAAGTAAGTCTAAAATTTCATTGTTAGGCACTCGATTAGGCTTAAGGATCTTTCTCGTAAATTTGTGTATTCCTGCAATAATATTGAAGCAGTTTCATTAAACTTCTTCATGGAATCCCTACTATCCTTACTAATATTATAAAGGCGAAAGTTTGTATGTATGGATGGATGTTTGTTAGTCTTTCACGCAAATACTACTGAATAGATTTTAATGCAACTTAACAATAATATAGCTTATACATCAGAATAGGACATAGGCTATAATTTTATGTACATATTTAATGTATATCTGTCTTTCTGTCTGAATCTTACGCCTTCAGCCTATTCTACGCAGACGTAGTCGCGGGTAGCAGCTAGTAATATAATAAAGTTGAAAGTTTTGTATGGATGGATGCTTGTTACTCTTTCACGCAAAAACTACTGAATGGATTTTAATGAAACTTCACAATAATATAGCTTATACATCAGAATAAAATATAGGCTATAATTTATAAAGATATTGTGTGAATTGTCCAAAATATAGGTAACGATAAGTGTCAACTGTAGGAAAAATATTAGCCATCCGGGAGATATTTTAGTGTATAATAAAAACTCATTGTTAGTTCCTGTTGGCCGCGCGGGCGAAGCCGCGGTTAACTATGATAATATTTACACAAGAAATAAACAGGATATAGAAAACAGCCAAAGAAAATTACATTTGAATAATGGGTAACGCTTACATAAGAAATAAAATACGCAGAAATAAGAATAAGGTGGTGTGAAAGAGACAAATGAGAAGTAGTGAAAAATAATATATTTAATATAAACTATTACGTATAGTTTAATATTTAATATTATTATATGTTTTATGTTGTTAACAACGATAATATCACAATCTTTTACGTACCCCAGGCCATGAGTATGTAATTCAGCGGAATGTAGTACATTACCAAAGTTATCAGCATTATTAGAAATATCGCTAAGAAACTCAGGAAAGGAACCGAGAAATTAAAAAGGCTGAAAATTGAAAAGCGCTCTTTAGCACAATCGAAATGAAGTTACTTTGATCGCAAGTGTTAATTAAATTTTATTTTTTACTTTTTAATACTCTCCCCCAGACTGGCGAATTGTCCGATTATTTTTTGTACCGTTTGCACCATATCTTGAAGGGAGTTTAATTTTTGTCGCAGTGTTAAATTCTTCTCTTCCTGGAAATGAGATAATTTTATTTTAATAAAAATAAACAATAAAAAATACTGCAGAGAAAGTATTTGATCTTACTTTTTCCTGTTTTGATATTTCGTTAGCTTCTAACGGTATTCGCTGAAATCTTCTTCTAACTGTGAGTGTAAAAAAAATAATAAATGTTTATCATTCCAATAGAACGTACTTATCATATCAAAACATATTTCTTGTTAAATGTGTAGAGCCATTCACGTTTTAATAACAAAACTGCAACTTACTTGCCAATACCGAACTTTTTGTGGGGTTGTACCATGCAAAAGGTATAAGTAAAAGGAGGGGCAGCATCCACGTTTTAAAAAACCAACAAAAAAGTATCCAAATTGTTAAAGCCAACATGTTACATCTCATAGACTCCCACTCGAACATTGTTCTGAAATAAAACTTTATTTCATTTAGGATAAGTTAACACTTAAGCTTTCGCAATAGTGGCGGACTGCTTTTTTTGTATACATTATTTAGCTAAGTCCAAAGGCCGGATACCACCATCAACAAAACTGCCAACTTTACATATAAAATATACCAATATTTTTTATTTTAAATGATTAAAATGGAAATTTAGAGGTTGCAGAGGCGTTGCCAATTTTTTGTTTGTGCAAGTCGGACTTGCGCACGAAGGATACATCTTGTGTGAAAATTTTAACTGTCTCATTATCACGGTTCATGATATACAGCGTGGTGACAGTCAAACAGACAGACAGCGGAGTCTTAGTTATAGGGTTTCGGTTTCTTTGGGTACGAAACCCTAAAAATTAGCCCGGGATATTACACTTACTAGAAGAAACCCGCAAGTATAATTCTTCCAGTTCATGATGGTCTTCTGTGAGGGCATGGCACTTCCCTGGACGAGTCTGCCCCTTCGCAATTTGCACATGCCACAATATAAAACCTGTCTTCAATTCAGTGTGTGATAAAGCAACATGTAAAATGTAGTTTTAATAAAGTAAATATCTCACTTAAATGTCTGGTAAGCGTCCACAATCCAAGATATGATTGCTTTCGCCCGTGTTATATTACGTGCGAACGTTTGCCTGTCTAACCTTTCTTCAGTTTGCAATAGATTCACCTCTTTTGGATTTATGACGCGTATAGATGCTTTGACCTAAAACATGTTAGTATGAATAAAAGATAGAAGACTAAAAATTTCATCCACACCACCTCGATGTCCAGCATTCCACAACAGCGCGATTTTCTAGGCATTCCCTGCCTCGCACAATCACTCTGTGGAACCTTTCCGAAATCTGGAATCTTTTGGAACGGTTACGACCTAAGAATCTTCAAGAATAGAGCATACTCTTTTCTAAAAGGCTGGCAACGCACGGCGGTAATCACTTACCATCAGGCGTGCCTCCAGCTCGTTTGCCCCTTTTCTCCATACAAAAAAAGACCAATATTTATCAATGTTGGGTTATAACAGATTTTTAACAATTTGCAAAATACACTAGCTCTCTCTTCGACATAAAAGAAATACGATTATCAAATTAAAAGTTGCCAAGTAATATTGTAACCACTTCTTCACTCTTTTATATATTTCGTTGAATGAAAAGTAAGATGAAACAATCCTTAACCCTTATTTCATCTTTGAAAACGTATAACTGTAATGTTACGCCTTAAATACGAGAAACGTCTAAACAATTCACTTACGAGATTCCAAGTAATTCCCATTTCTAACAGTATTCTTGGATTATTTCCTCTTGCCCTTTCTCTTTGATTGATTCCTTTGAGTGCGTACCATTTTTTACACGAGGTATTTATTTTCAGCAGCGGTATTGAAACCTTTCCCACTTCCTCTGATCTTTTTTCATCCCAAACTATAACTTCTAACATTGATGTTACATCAGTAACTGTGCTGAAATGCAATAAATTGAACTATTTTATTAGAATTATTATAATACTAGAATAAATATATGTAAAAGTTTTTAAAATAATATTTGTTACAAAGAAAATATCTTCATCCAATTCGGTACTTGTGTCTTATATTCGGTATGTGTAAACAGTCTCTCGTTGTTTAGTTTCAGTATACAATAGCAGTCAGTCGACGTGATCCCTTTGGCACCAAAGACAATTACAGACAGCCAGCCTACATCTGTCAATTTTCTCAATCTGTACCAAGCCTGCAAGATTTGTTAAAAAAGATTTTTGTGAAAATTAAACAATAAAAATAATTTTAAAATAACGAAGATAAAGAATATTTAGATAGCTACGAAATTTTTTCTTTCAATGTCCATTTTTTGTTGAAGTTTTTGGTAATCATCAAGGTCAATCATTGTATTGATTAGATTGGTTCCACTTATTGTGAGAAGAAAAAATAATTGAACATTCGCATACGTAGTTTGAGAATTTTCTTCTTCTAAAATAATTTTCATCCTGTGTGTCTGTTCGTTCTCTACTTGAGACAAGTCGAGAACCTGTCTGTAAAACACGGTAATAGAATAACGTCAGTAAATTGTAAACATAAACATATTATACTATTAAACGACGATGACCGTTTTTGCGCAAAAGATGTCCAGCAAATACATATTTTAGAGTAGCTCGTCATATTTGTCGTACCCAAAGGGTAAAACGGGACCTAGACTCCACTGTCTGTCTGTCTGACTGTTTGTCCGTCTGTCACGAAGCTGTATCTCATGAATCGTGACTGATGAATGATTCTGTTGTCGCTATAACAACAAATACCAATAAACAGAATAAAAAAAAAATTCAGTGGGGCTACCATACAACTTACATGATTTTTTTGCTCTCTTTATAGATAATGGTACGAAACCCTTCGTGCGCGTGTCCGACTCGCAATAAGCTGGTTTCTATATTTCCAACTAGTTTACGATTTAAACTTTTACTTTAACATAGTCGGTATTTATTTTTAATTGTGTGCCAGATATAATTAACTAATTAATTATATCAGGCGGATGTTTTCAAAGTAAAACTTCTTAAGACGATTTTTTATATAGAGTGAACGAAAGTGATGCTCAGGGCGTTGACGCACTGAATCGTTACTGCTTATTCGAGTGTTTGAATGTTTTTTTAAATTCGAAAGTTCGTTTAACTCCTATCACGTGGAAACCACATCCTTTTAATATGCTAACAAATTAAGTCAAACTGGTATTAACATAAAAATATGAAGTATTTGGAATGAAAATATTATTTTTAATGTTTGATATTAAAATCGGCACCCGTAATCTTAATCTAATCTGTAAGACATTAAATTATTGATATATTCTCTAAGTTAAAATGTTAATAATGCTTTGAGTCATGTTTAGTGCATGCCGCCATACAAAAGTTGTCAACGTTCTTAAATAACTTACTTGCTAATGAATACATCACGATCCCAAAGAGATATTTCCAAAAGTGTATCGTCGAACATGTTTATGTTTAGTAGCTCTTGAAATTTCACCACCGAACTATTTATTTTTATCAATTTAGATTTTCTCTTCTCTGTACCTAACCTGCAACATATTATTTATTTATTTCCATTTTTATAGTATGATTGCTATTAGAAATTGCATATTCCGATTTCAGTAACGGGCACGGATCAGCTTATTAATCAGGTTTTGACAGACTAAAATAATCTGCAATAAATATTGCACATCGACTCTTGGAAAGAGACAATCGTCTATTCCGACTTCGTCGAGTTTATCACTGTTACGCACTGTCTCTTTCTCCGTTAGTGCTTCGTGCTAGACTAGATAGACAGATAACTTTCATGATTTTTAATACTCGCTGAGGAGTGGATATCAATAATGAAATTTGTTCCATCTATCTGAAAGATGCGGAGTGTTTTACTCCATTTTTTATGATAAAGACAGTATTAAATTAAAACATGGCTATTTATGAAAAATATGATACCTTAAGCGACAACATAAAAAACGCCATTTATCGTCAAATGATTCTTTTTCCATGACGGAAGCTTCAATTAGTGCTATGGAAACTGTTCCGAACTTGCTTCTCTTAATAACTTTGTCGAAATCATGATCAGGAGTGTTCGCGAAAACAAACTGTAAAGTTAAACATTTGTCAAATTTACCAGTGAAATATTTGCATAGAAGATAAATTCATGGAAAGTTACAACTAATTTGTTCTACAGTAGTAATAAGAAACCGCAGTAATTTAAAAATTAAGCCCCTCTCATATTTACCAATACCTTTTGAACCTTCTCACGTGCCTCTCTCTTTTTTTCTCTATTTGCGTGTCGTCTTTCCTTAACAGCTATAATTCGAGAACCAATTTTCTCGCGAATAGATTTCGATGTCGGGGTAGGTGGTGGAATCGATTCATCACTATCTCTTCCTAAATCTTGTAATCTGTTAATTAATTATGTACATAAGTTCTATAGTTCCAATTTGTATAATTAATAAAAAAATGAACACTGTACAACTTACGATTCTACGCTTGTTTTTGAAAAATGACTCATATCACTAAGAAATATCGTTTCAGATAGGTTATCTTCATATTCGCTGTCGATTTTTTCTTGTTGTCCATTGTTTGATTTGTTTTCCGTGACAACAACTTCATTAAAATTAATGTCTTGATATGTAGCGCTCATTTTGTTCATATTTTCAATTGACATCGTTTCAGTTTTCAGGCTCCTTCCCCTTGAGATATTAAGATCTTGCTTGCCGTTACTAACGTCATTTGTACTATAATATCTTTTAGGTTCTGTGTAAATGAAGTTATCGTTGAGTGAGGTAAGCATATCGATCGATTTAGATTTTTCAATTTTCTTCTGCATCTCATTATATTTGTTTTGTATTCTTTCATGTAGTTTTGGGAAATATTTTTTATCAACACCATTTGACTCCACTGTACGCACGTAATCCATTTTGCGAACACTTATTATATAAATGAAACTATCAGTTGATTCGCAATTAGCACGGACAGAGAACCACCATTATAACGAACGATCATAGACTACACAGAGCTGTTTCGTTATTGATTAAATCGCATTATCTATGCCCATATCTTATCAATTGTTTAGTTATTGATTGCCTTCAATACTATCTTTAGCAATTTCTTTTAATACGGGGATTTTGGCCCATTATTATGGGGGGGGATATTCATTTGTTTTCTCGTCTGGTTGGGTTTATAAATAAAAATAAAAATATAGATATATATATTGCATATATATAATAAATATTATGGATAAAAATAAATATATATAGGACCCAACCAGACGGAAGCCCTCGGCAGGGGAGACCAAACGGCCGAGGGTTAGGACGAAAGGGAGAGAAACCGGCGGACGATGCGGGCGGTATCGAGGAGCACCGCCTTCTGTATTTGAGCTTGGAGCGATCCGTCCCGGAGTCCCAGTGGCCTCAGATGTTTAGAGAGGCTGGCTGGGATTAACCCATTGGCAGAAATGACTATCGGGATAATTTCGGTCGGCGCATCACCCCACATGTCGGTCACCTCGTGAGCCAGGTCCAGATACTTTGTCTTCTTATCTGTTTCCGCTTTCACGAGGTTTTCGTCATATGGAATGGTAATGTCGACCAAAAATACCCGCGACTGTGTCCGGTCCATCACCACGATATCAGATGAATTATTTTGGGATATAAGTTTTGTTCTCGTCAGATTGAGTTTACAAATGAAATGTACCTACATATACATTAAATAAAATTTCATAGATTTGGCGAATTGTTAGTCTAAATTTGGTTAGTTGGTGAATAATGATGTGGTTCATCAGGATTTGTTATCTCGGCTATGTTGATAAAATATACGATACGATATTGGATCTTGTTGGGAATACGGGTGTTATGTATGGTCGCTTTTTATAAAGCCTTCCTTCACTCTCTATTTTAACGTTTAACGTCGGCAAATATGATTACATGTATTATAAAATATAATTAAATGGATTAATCAGTAAGAATGGTGCAATCAAAGTACGGTTGGTGAGTTGGGCTATCAGCTCAGCTTGATTGGTGTGTTTGTAGTATATGGTGTGTATTTGGATCTTGAGTGTTTGAGTGAGAGTTTCTGTAAAGTGTTAGCTATTTGGTTGTGACAGTGGGAGTTGTTATTTTGGTTTAAAGTTATGCAATCTTCTGTTATATATTGAATGGTATACAGCTTATTGTGACAGCAGAATTACATGGAATTTGGTTGCATTGCCCTATCTACAATTACGTACTTTCTGCAGTTCCTGGTGGTGATGACTTGATCATGTATTGTAATAATGAAACTCTCTGTTTCGGGAACAATCCTTTATAATGTAATATATTATTAAATTAAATTTTAATTACATTTAAATCCAAAAATTTTAAATACAATACATAATTGTACTGTGGTTATTATCTAATACATATACCAGACATTTATGTATGTAATAATATATAATAGCTGTTATTAAAAATGCACATGATAATTAATTTTCATAAAAATACAAATTTTACTTTAGTCCATATTTAATAATGTTAGGATTACAGTTATACGGTTTTATTTGAAACTAATGTAGATACCACTCCATAATTATCAATTATTTAAAATCTGTGAAATCAATCCTACATTTAGGTCAGCCGTTTGTCCTCCAAATAGCTGACCAAGATTAAGTCATCTTTATTAAATTATTATATAATTAATTACAACATTATTCCGGAAACACTATCTTGAAATACTGAATTTATATATAGCGCAGTTCCAGCAAATTTAATGTTTTTAATGATGCAGATAAAGTTAAAAAATCCTGCGTAGTAAAGTGGATTAGAAAATAATGTTAAGAATTATACAAGAGACATAAAGCTGGTAGGGCAATTCATATCAAAACAAAACTGAGAAAAAAGACTAATAAAACATATAGAAGAATTACTAAAAACTTGGGCCCGGTTACCTTACTCACCAGAGGAGGTACAATAGTATAAAATTTTCACTTCATTTCGGCATTGGGTGAGGCTTTGTAACTTTCCCGGACGAGCCTAGCCATTCGTACATGGCAATGTCACAGGCAAAATGTATTAAAGTTCAGCACTAAAAGGAAATGGTGTGTTGTTATTTCATGAAGTAAGTAGAACCACACGGGAATAGAACATAGGCTATATACAAAAACAGAATATTAAAAATATGTAACGTTGTTTTCAGTATATTGCTTATCATATCTTAAAAAAATTGAATTTTAAAATGCATGACGGACCAGATAAAATTTTTAATGCAAAATACGATATCAATAACTTTGCCGTGAATGTTTCTTAAGGTGATTAATTTATTTTTTTCTAGAAATTTAAATTGTTTATAGTGCTAATCTTTGCACTTAAGTTTGAACATTAAAATATGTAGAAAAAGATTTTTTTCTCTTTTGTTAAGTTTTAATCGTTTGAATTTTTCTATTTTCAAGTAATGGGTTCCTTTAAAAGATTTGTTGGTCTGAATTTTTTAAGATTCCTAAATCTGGTTTTAAATTCTAAGAAAAGATCCGAACAACATGAATATAAGTGTTGTATGTTAACATGTTCTATTGAATGTATATACGAGTATACTCACACATACGAGGATATGTATCTTTGTGCATGTTTATCGCATGTTGCTAGGTTTGAAAATTATCAATTTTATTGAACTTGTTTTGCTTTTAACAGTATGTTGTATGTAACAGTATGTAACATGTTACCTCTTCTTATTTTTCAATTTCGTCATATGTCTAAAACTGTGACACAAAACACTTTGCTTTAACTCTTGTAAAATTTTTCAAAAGGAAATTTAATCCGACACATTTTTACGCAACGTTCTTTAGTCCCAAACTAAGCAAATCTTGTACTATCGATACTAGAAAACTGATAAACATACTTTTCTTTTGTAAATAAATACATGTTATACGTATATAAACACCCAGACACTGGAAAACGCTATTTTCGTCACACAATATTTTTCCAATAGTGGGGATCGAACCCACACCTTCTGGCGCAAGAGGCAGGCGCACTACTCCCCACGCCAGTCGGGTCGTCGTGAATAAGATGACACGGTATCCTAATTTTGATGACGCTGATTTATACATTGTTGTAAATAAATTAGTAGTATGACGTCCACGCGTGCTTGAAATATTGTCTTGTCGTGTGAGACACAAATTACATGTTTCAGCTTGCAGCCACGAAGTAAAGGGAGTTTTATCGTTTTTGTTCGTTTTTTTTTATGAGAAAAGTTGCCAAACGAGCAGACGGTTCACCTGATGGTGAGTGAATACCGCCGCACATGGAGATCTGCTATACCCGAGGGTTTTAGATGCGTTGACAACCTTTTAAAAATTGGGCTCCGGCTACCTCACTCACCAGACGAAACGCTAAAGTATTTGTCACACTTCCACTTTACGCTGGTCTTCTGTGTTCATCAGAGAAACTAAATTGTCTATTATTTTATTAAAATTAGCCACCCTCTCTTTCATTTCACCATTAGTGTTAAAAACATCAACAAGGTTTCTGCATGGTGCCTTATACATTAAAGTTTATATTACATTAGGCAAATCTATTTGTGATCCCGTGTTTTGCTCTTTAAGCGGGTTTATAAGCGGAATTTGTTTAAAAATTGTGTATTGTTTAAGTATTGTGTATTGTTGAGAGTGTTTTCAATCAGTCAAATTAATTATGTTTAAATATGCTTGACGAAAGAATGCTCAAGGAATTAAACGCCCTAACTTTTGGCAAACTTTAATTATACTAAAATATCAATAAAATACTGAATACTTAAATACCAATAAAATTCGGCATAATTGAATAAAACAGTTGCTTGCATCACGTCAGATCTGCTCAAACAAACTTCCCCCACGAGGCATTTGTGCATCAATTGCAACTTTCCCTAAAGTTGCTGAACAGCTGCGGAACCATGTCCAATATACCACTTCCCTATTCCAAATGTCTTACTTTGAGATGTTTCGATTCAGTTAAATTGGCTAACAACTCGTGTTACGACTTTGTGAAATAGTTTCGTAAGTTTAGTCTACTTGCGGCAAAATTTTGAGATTTTAAATTATTGTTTTTATTTTTTCTTGTATTTAATATATCGATGACTGACTCGATGATGAAACACTACCAATTGAAGAAGAAAGTTGCCGTACCAAAGTTTTGCTACTTTATGTAGCTAGTCTAGCTGTAATTGTCTGTTTACTTGATTAAGGTACAAACTATGATAAGGTCCTTCACGTGTACTCATTCCTTTTTACGGTAAAATCAAATATTCTAATCTATAATGTTTGTTACATTCCGAGTGCTAAGCTATCGACGTGAATCTGACATCAATGTATAATTTTGTTTACAATGCCATGTTTGAATTCGAGCCTTTTAATTTTTTCTACATATTATATGATTTACAAACCATCATTGGGCCGATAATGGGTCCTTGTGTTTCTAGCCAACCTAAGGCGGTAGTAAATGAAACTATTGTGGCCGTCACAACTTATAATTATATGACAGCTCAGAAGGAGGCTTAAACATTTATAAGGTCGTTGTTGTGGACTTAAAGATTATTTTGTCTTCGCTTCCACGGCTAGGTACTCCTATGTGACGTAGACGGGTTCTGAATGTCGGTGGCCTCGGTGTGATGGAGTAGACGGTAGCGGACTTTCAGCCA